TCATCACATCATCATATCATCACATCGTCACATCATCACACCATCACATCACATCATCACACCACATCATCACATCATCACACCATCACATCATCACATCACCACATCATCACATCGTCACATCATCACATCATCACATCATCACATCGTCACATCATCACATCATCACATCATCACATCACACCACATCACATCACATTTACATTAAGTCAGTTACAAGTGGATCGATATCCACCATTAGATCGTGGTCTCACGGTAGACCTTACAATAATGGCGAGTTCAGTTCCAAGACTAGAGTCCAACTATCTCTATAGAGTTCCACCCTGAATGCCATTAGAGAAAATAGAAAATGACCACACCATCCCTTTCTTGGGATATACTCTACTTCATCTGCCTATTGGCCGATAAGTGCGAAAGCGTTAACCGCTACCCGCCATTAATTGGAGTAAGAAGATGCTGGATGGTTGAACATTTAGCTATCGAGGGGACAGAACTCATCTTATTGTAAAGTGTAATCAGCCAATGAATTGTAGCATTTGCAAGTCGCGCAACTCATGAAATGGCAAAGCACATGGGAAGTAATCAGGATCAACGGATTTAAATTTTTACTTATTCTTTTATTACCAAAGAAATCACATTAACAATTGATTTAGTTATTTAATTTTGTGCACTTAAAATGATCTGACATTAGTAAGTGAATACTGTGAATATAATTTCTCATTAGAATTAAATATAACACACAAATAGACTCCTAAAACATATAAATCTACACTCTAAGAATATATATTTTAGCATTTTTTAAACAAGACTTAATAATTAATAGCTTCCATTAACTCCGGTTTTAACAGTACACTATCTTAAAAAAATGTCACAACGTGTTACGATCATCTCTGTACATTACCTACTCAAATTAATTAATAAGTTTGTTTTGAAGTTTAATTATTTTAAAATTTTGATTAAAAAAATAAATAAATAAATAAATAAAAAAAATAAAAAAAATAAAATAAAAAAAAAATGAAGACTGTTTGCAGATAATAGGCACAAATGGAAAGTGTGAATGCAAATGACTACCTATTGTACATAATATATCATGTTTTTTGTATACTTCAGACATAACTATGTGTACTTCTTTCCTCTTTTAGGTACTTCTCCCCTCTTTTAGGAAGCCTAGACAAACCTTTGAAGCCAATGTTATTAATATAAAGTTTACTACAACTCATCACTTTTATTTATCATAGACAAATATTGTCCCCCTTTTCAACCTTATTATTTAGAAATAGCAACTACCTATTGTACATAACATATCATGTTTCCCTGTATACTTCATATATAACTATTTGTACTCCCCCCCCCCCCCCCTTTTAGGAAGCCTATACCAACCTTCGAAGCCAAAGTTTGTTAATATAAAGTTTACCATAACTCAGCACTTTTATTTATTATAGCCAAATATTGTCCCAATTATAACTTTAATTTTCAGAAATAGCAAATTGCTTTTGGCCCATGAAATAACCCCCCCCCCTCCCTATAAAATACATATTTTATTTTGTAAATAACATGTAAAAAATTTTGAGAATGAAAGTTTCAGGAATAGTTTATATTGTAAATCTGCACCAGTCTTCTTATGTCGCATGATGAACGTAGTAAAAATCAGCTACTGCCACCACTCATTGGCCGGGCGCGCTGAAAGTCAAATCTACAACACTGAGACATAAAAAAAAAAAAAAAAAAAAAAAAACAAAAAAAAACGTGTTAACCTAGCAAGGGAGGTCTAGAATTTAGATTCCAAGCATAAATTTAAAATTATGGCCTACCATAAATCTAGTGACGTTGATTCAAAGGCATCCATCAGAACTTTTCAAACTTGTTGACAGATTGCATGTTTTTCCATACTTGAAGCATCTTAAAGAAAAACATTTGTGATCATGAATAGAATACTTGATTTGGAGATGCAATGCAAACGGACACACAGCCCTTTTTATCCTTTCCTCAATACACAGTGCACATTGTTTCCAGCTTGTAAGCAGTCTGACTGCACAAGCAGCAGCTCTCCGTTTAGAAATTTCAAAACATTTATTGACTTAAAGTCAAACAGTACATTTTTGAGTTCACTTTTACCAACAGCTTGTTGTTCATCCAAAAGTGAAAATTCAAATTTGTATTCCAATGAGTCAATTGACAAGGATAAAGCAGATTTGCTGCCGTGCTCGCTAGAGAAGAATAAAGGAGATATGCTGCCGTGCTCGCTAGAGAAGAATAAAGGGGATATGCTGCCGTGCTCGCTAGAGAAGAATAAAGGGGATATGCTGCCTGGCTCACTAGACAAGAATAAAGGAGATATGCTGCCGTGCTCGCTAGAGAAGAATATAGGGGATATGCTGCCTGGCTCACTAGCGCCCCCAAGTGGTAAACAAATGAGTTACAGCAATGAGATAAACAAATGGCTGGAGAAAGAGACTGGATTTGATAGGCTGAAAATCATGTTTGCTTTCAATGAAACAGGTTTCTTGCAAAAGGATGTCCAAGAAATGAATACCATGCTTCGACGCAGTATATTTTTAGGCATTATCTATGGCGCTATTTCTGCTACTTTGGAGGATAATAAAAGAAAAGCAGAAAAGTCTGCATCTAAATCAGAAGCTGTTTTAAAAGGAATTATTAAGGAGGTACTTGGTAGAAACTATATCATCAAGGAAAGTATGAAAACAACACTTCAGATAGCTACACTCTCACTGTCATTCATCCATCTGTCTCAAGCCATAGCTGCCTACAGGAATGAATCCACTGTGTGGGAGTACACCATTTCTACTGCTGTAGGCTTGGGCCTCATTAACCTGGGGCGGCCCCTGAAAACTGTTCTCAGTTCCACAGCTACTGGTGCTGTTATTGGTACTGTGGGTGGTTATGTAGCCTGCTACGTTCTGAACAATGCTGGACTTAATCAAGAGCAAAGGCACAGGGAGAGGATACTTAGCTTTTTAGCCAATGAAAAGCCCATGCACAAATCATCTGTATGATGATCTAGTCTGAGACTTTTGAAAGATAGTTTGTGGGGCCAGCCTCACCACACACAGATGCTCCACACATCATACACTGTACATTTTAGTCTTAACTTGATAGATTTTTAACATCCATAAAAAAATCTTTTAATTTGTTTCAAATATGTTTTGATACTTCTTTATTTTATTCAATAAATATCATTAAATCCAAAAAAAAAAAAAAAAAAAAAAAAAAAAAAAAAAAAAAAAACTATCTTAAAAAAAAGAGACTATCTACCATTAGTTAACCATGTAAAATTTTGTGGGGGAAAAAATTGCAATGTTAAACTACCAAATAAATTATTATTACTATTTTAAATGTTTAGAATAAATAAATAAAAAAACTGCGACAGGACGGCTATAGATATGTTTGATAGGGAAGAATGTTTGATTTGATGTGTCTCATTGTAATCAAAATAACATTCCGGTTGCTTAACATTTTTATTAGTTTAATTTTCTGTAATCCCAAATTTATTTCAGTTCTACTTAAAAGCCCAAACCCCACTTCAGCCCACCATGCCGATGGAAAAAAAATCCATTGAATCATCATTTAATTACTCATTTGCATTTTCAGGTTTTTAAAATAAAATAAAATTGTAATTAGACGTTTTGTATTAGATCTATGTATGAGTAAACCATCTGAAGTGAATGAATTAGGCTTCCAGTAAGAAAAGTATTACTATTGTAAATTTGTATCAGTCCTCACAAGCCGAGGATGAAAACTATAAAACTAAAGCAAACACGCAAGGCAAACTGACGCTGTAAATGACATGTCTGAGAAGAAAAAATAAATTACCATGTTCACAGCTCCACTTACATCCCCCCCCCCAAATAAATTACAATTTAAGCCCATACAACATCAACCTACCCAACTAAAAATAAAAAACAACACACCATTTAATTACAAATTTACATTTTCAGGTTTTAACCATAAAATTGTACTTAGACATATCGTATTATGTAATAGTAAACCTCCATAGATGAATGAAATTACACGCCAGAAAGAAAACGTATTATAAAACTACAAAAATAACTCTAAATGAGGACTTCTATGAATAAAGCTGCTGGACGGGGAGAATGCTTATTTAGATGAGTCTCATTTTCTCGCTGCTTTAAGTACATTATTTTCCTTAAATCTTAAAGTTATTTCAGCTCTAGTTATAAGCCTATACACCCCCAACCTACTCCACGGGGAAAAAATGAAAGAAAATTCCCCTCTATTCCCTTTTTTTTTTATATTTCAGATTGTTTTTGTTTTTACTTTTGAGAACCCTCCTAACTTGTAAATATTTAAATTTTCAGGCTAAAAAAAAAAGCAAAAAAAAAAAAAACATTTCAAATTAAACGATTTGTATCATGTAAAGTAAACCATCTCAAACAAATGAAAGTACATGTCAGAAAGAAATATTACTATTATAAATTTGTATCAGTCCTCACAAGCCGATAATGAAAACTTACACTAAAGTGAACATGGCAAGGTAAACTGACGCTGTAAATGACATGTCTGAGGCGAAAAAAAAAACAAGTTAATAAAAAATAGATAGACGTATAATGCTGGGGTGCGTTCAAGCTAGGAGAACGATCGGTTTGTAGGTGTTTATGTAATTTAAAAAAAATTTTTGTGACCGAACGAAAGGATATTTTTGAAAACTTTCTTCGGCAATATTGTTCTAAATTATGGCAGGAATCGATTGGTAAATGTTTCAAGTCGCTAAGAGATGTGGGCCAAAAACTGCATTTTAAAAAGGTTTTTTGACTTTTCCGGGAAATCCAGGAAGGAATTCCGAGAATTTTTTTTGGCCCACAATCATCCTCGGAACTTGCTTAACATATTTGCTTTTGGAACTAGTCCTCGATATTGCTTCGTTGAGGAGATACGACTTAAAGCTGCGGACACACATCGGACACACATCCATCCTTGACGAGTTAATAATCGCAATTGTCAGTATGGAAATTGCGCTAAAAATGATTTGGAAACGCTTCACGATTATGCGCGTCATCTCTCCACGACGGCCATGCTTATCTCTCTTGTATCGTTCCAATTTTATTGTATGTACTTCGTCGGAACTATGGTTGGAATTTTACAGCTTTCTATTCTAATACAATTCAGCTAATCAAGCATCGAATGCAACTATTATTCATAGACCGCTGTGAGGTTATGCCAACCACATTCTCGAATGATCTAAGCCAGTGATTCCCAAACTTTTTCGAATGGCGACCGCCTTTTATTAAAAGTAAGGGACCAGCGACCCCCCATAGAATTAAAAAGTCGAAATTAGTATGGAAATTAATACACACTAAAACAGATGTTCTAGTAGACTTTCAATGTGAATTATTCTTGATAACTGTTTTAATACGATGAGTGAAATTACATGCCGTTAGCTAGCCTCAACATTCGCGGCTAGGTTTTTGTAAACGCCTACCTCATGTTATTCTCAACATTTAATTAATTTTTTTTGCATTTGTTTTCAATTGAAGAAGTATTGAAACTATTCTCGCAAAGATATGTGGACAAAAAGGAACTAAAACTCGAAAGGCAGATTTAGGAATTTATCTTGTAATTCATCGGTAATGCTTGCATCATAAAGGGAAGCAGAGAAAGGGTGACGTGTCAATGCAGTTTCTACTTTAAGCTCAGGTAAATACCGCCGCAGTTCGTTTTCAAGAAATTCAAGATGCCCACAATCCTCTTTCAAATTTGTATTGATCTCACAATCATTTTAATCTACCACAATCAGAGTTTTTTCCAGGTTTGTTTTAAATGAATCGTCTCAAAATGAGGTTTTAGTTTTGAAGGTTTTATAGATTCATGACTGAGAACAGCTTTGCAATGTCAGAATTGTTTCTTATCTATTTAATTTCCATTTATGTTAGTAAAACCGAATTTCAGATATTCTTCTACATATTTATGTTGTTTTTTTTCATTACTATGGTTTAGTATACCAGTCGGCGACCCCCCAGAAAGCCCTTCGCGACCCCCAAAGTTGTCGCGACCCCCCCAGTTTGGGAACCCATGATCTAGTAGTGGTGAGTTTAGTAGTAGGGAACTGAGTAATCGAGAGTTGTGAATATCGAGTAGTCGAGTTGGTTGTTTGAGTTTAGTTGTCTAGGTTGCCGTAGGTTCGATGGTATTGGGACTGAACAGCCTACCTAAGATTGCTCCTCGGTAGGCGTCGTCTAGCTAGCTGAAAAAATTGAAAATAGGTATTAGACACTCGTGCATTTAAATATATAAATACATTGAGACTTCTGCCTTGAGATACTAAAACCAATACTAGACCTTGGTCTTTCCCAGTGTTGATGGCATGCAATGGAGAAAGAGTTGAAGGAGAGAGGGCTAACATTCAGTGTTTCTTCCAGACTTTTTTTCTCCCGGGGGGATGGGGGAGGGGGGGGGCACTTGAAATTTTCGGGGGGGGGGGGGGGGGTTGGTCAACATTTTTCGGGGGGGGGGGGGGGGGGTGGGCGGACACTAGTAAAAATGTATGTTTACTGTATAAAATCCATCTCGTTCTTGGGGGGGGGGGGGGGGCGGGTAGTAGACTTTCTTTGGGGGGGGGGGCGGGCTCCGCTCCCCCCCCCCCCCCCCCACCGAAGAGGTGCCTGGAAGAAACTCTGCTAATATTGCAACAGGCAGAGCTTATATCTACAGACACGTGTGAGGGTGGGGGGAAATAGAAGATCTACCGCCAGTTGTGAGGGTGGGGAAAAACAGAAACCACCAAATGTGATGGTGGGGGTGATTATGATGATACCAGCCTGGTTATAGTTTGGAATTAACACACACAAGTCCGATCCAAGATATAATGTTCTTTATTAGAATTTACACAATCAACTTCCTACCTAACTAATCTATACTGTACTACTACTACTTATAACTGTTCCCTAGCTCTACATATCTCCGACCGTCTCTACCAAACTGTCTACGTCTAATTCTCTACCTAACTCATGCGTTCTCTTCGCTAAATATCTGTCTGCGCTGATCTAACCACTGACCCACGCTACAGTGGTCAGCTGACCGTCCCACGTGACCGGTCAGCTCCTGTATTTTCATTGGTCTCTAACCAATTAGCTATAGCCTGTTTCTACTCTCTACCCTGAACTAGCGTCATCACAACAAGGTGAAATGGATGGTGTCGTAATCATGTTTTTTCAAGTCTTATCTGTATAATTACCCGAGTTGCCACCCCTCACCCTCCATTGAAGGATGATCATAATCTGTGTTAAGCGATGTGGTTGATACTAATCTGTTGCTAATCTAGCTGGAGAAAATATCGTCACCTGGGTAAAATTGTGGGGTAAGATTAAACGAGTGGTTAGACGTAGCGAGCGGGATGAGGCTAAAACACAGGACAGATGTGGTTAAATTAGCCAGTGGCGTAGCGAGGTCGGGTGTCACCCGTTGCGGCACTTAATGGTGTCACCCCCCTCCCCAGAGGCGTTGCTACCCTTCCCGGGGACAAACTATCCAAGTTTTCGATTTGCACCCCACCCCCCAAACTTTCGATTTGCACTCCCCTGAAGTTTTTCTCTATATATTTTGCTATTTTTTGCCTTGGTGTCACCCCCCTAAATGGTGTCACCCGATGCGGTCCGCCCCCCCCCCCTCGCTACGACCCTGAAATTAGCCAGACATGTAAGAGTTCAGGGAAGAGCTGAAAGGAATGTAAGGCTTTGACATAGAACCTATGCTCAGCCAGACACGACAGGGAAAAGCGATTGTGTGGATGATGAAGTTACTAAGTTTTAAATAGTGAAGGAAATAATGATTATATCTTTTATTATTTATTCCTATTGTCGTACTTCCCCATTCCAGCAGATGTAAGAAGCAAGTAGTAATAACAATGGAAATTAATTCTTTTAAAAACTGAGAAATCTCTATAGAAATAATTAAAACTGATAGCTATCCTATATGTAGGAATTAAGAGTTAAAAAAACAATGTTTGTCTTCAGTTTAAACTAAACTAAAATAATAATTATTTAATTTATAAAACAATATTATTGACAAAATAATCTTACATACATTTTAATAAACATAGTTTATTAGATAATAAACATTGATCTTAGATTTTATTATATTTAAAGAAATTTAAAATTATTTGTAATTAATGTAGTGAGCATAGTTACAAGTTGTCTTCCTTAGTATAATTAACTATTTCAAATGGGAAATAATTAACACGATATTCATTGCTTCTTTTCTGAATTTGTATTTTTAAAAATTATATTAGTATCGCATGTGATAGTTTTTTTTTAATTTTTTAATCATTATTGGAAAATTATTTCTATAATCTTAGTTTTGTGGTTACCCAATTGGATGTTCTATATTGCGTGTGGGTAGATGATTGTGTGGAATTTTTTTCTTTCAAGACAGTAAGACATACATACACCAATGTTAGGTACCAATCAGCGTTACTAAATCCATTAAAAGTCAGCCAGAGATTTATATACCAATATAAGGTACCAATCATCTTTACAAAACTCATTCGAGCCAGCCAGAGATACACCAATGTCGGTTACCAATCAGCTGTTACTAAATCCATTCAAAGTTAGCCACACATACATAGACCAATGTAGGATACCAACAGAGAAGCCCCCCCCCCCACCCCGAAATTTTTTTACCGCCCCCCCCCCGAACGAAATGAAATTTATATAATTTATATAGAAAATATATACTTTTAACAGTATCCGCCCCCCCCCCCCCCCCCGAAGAAAGTCTACCGCCCCCCGAAAATTTCAAGTGCCCCCCGGAGAAAAAAGTCTCGAAGAAACACTGGATACCAATCAGATTTACAAGACTCATACAAAGCTAGAAATTCATAAACCAATTGTTTGTATTGTAGTTAGATTTTCTTCACACAAAGGTAATGTTAAGAGATATATTTTAGTGAAAATTAACATTCCGTCAAAAATTTTAACCTAGACAAATATGTAGATGAAACCCAAATAACTTATCAGCTTCCATCAATGCCACGATTTCTAACCTAGTGTTCTTTGACCTTTCTCAAATAATTTGAAAAGAATTTTCATCTATTCACTAAAATACGATGGCGGCGACAGTACCTAACAAAATATAAAATACGCCATTAAGTTTATTTTTAGAGTTTAATGACCTACTTACTTAAAACACTAAAAATTGGGTTCTATCTGAAATATTCCCGACAAAATAAAACAATTAATTGCATCCGATAGGCTTTCGTTTGTAATTCTTCCTCCCTTGAAGCTATTTTCTGTTTCAGAATTGAAAAGAATGTGCCCGTGTATTACTTTAATGTCCCGCACGAACAGGGAATTGATAAATGTTATTGATACTTAGAACAGAGCGAAGGGTGGACACCCCGAGATCCCACTGATACAAGACATCGACTTAAAACTGGATTACTTGAATCACTTGTGGTCTGAGTCACCGAGTTTGATTTTCCCGCCTCCGGGGGTTGTGTATCGTTGTGGTATTTTGATGGGGGTGATAGTGACGTCAGCGGGCGTCTACCCGGGCTGTCACGTGACTTGGGCGGTCATTTATATGTCCATGTCCCGAGGTCTGAACCAAACAGGACGGAGGACAGTAGGACAGTAGGACCTAGCAGGAGGAAACATCAACTCTCCTCAGTCGTCATTTCTCGGAGTGTGGTCTTGTCTTCTGTCAGACTTCGTACGATTTTCTTTACAAGAGAGTTACTGTCTAAACATTGGTACGTTATTTTTGTTGGTTTCTCTGTTGTGAGTTTTTTCTTTGCTTACAAAGTTAGTTTGTGAGTTTGTCTGTGGCTATAATCTTATTGCTAATGTTTGTATATTTTCCAACTTGAGAAATGGGTCTTTAAAAATAAAAACTTCAAAATCTACTCTTTTAGTCTAATTAAAAAGTAAATTAGTCTAAATAAATTTTTTATTTTATTTAATACAGAAGGCAAAATTAAGTATTTTAAAGTTAATTTTAATATTAATTTATGCAATAACGAAAGGGGAAATTATGCGGCGGTGGTGACGTCAGCTCAAGTGAGCTGGTGTTTACGATGGTTGTGTACACATTTTAGAGTTGCCATGGAGACTAATAACGTGGACAACATTCTAGAATCAACTGATCAACAAAAATATTGTTATCGTGGAGGGAGTGTCGAATTATTTAAGAATGTTCGGAAAGAAAAGAAAAAAAAAGTGAAACTTAACCGTTTTTAAACCTTGAGTATCTACCTAGTATTTTAATGTTTGAAATTCATAGTTAAAAAGTAGAAAGTAAATTTAATAAACGTTATTAAAAAAATAATTTTAAATGCTCTCTTAATAAGACAGTAGACATTGTATTCTTTCGTTGCCTATAAAATTAAAAGTTTCTTTTTTGGGCAGTTATCCGATTCGGGCAAGGGCCCGTTCGGGCATTTGTCCCATTCGGGAAAGTGTTCATTCGAACATTTGTCCGATTCAGGAAAGTGTCCATTCGGGAATTTGTCCCATTCGGGAAAGTGTCCATTCGGACATATGTCCCATTCTAGAAAATGTCCGTTCGTGCGTTTGTCGCTTTCGAGAAAGTGTCCATTCGAGCATTTGTCGCATTCTAGAAAGTCAATTAGTGCATTGGTCCGTTTAAAGAAAGTAGGCCATTAGTCAACTAGTGCTCATAAGGGTGCAACGCAAATGTCATAGTAAATGACCCATACAATCGTTTACATTTGTGAATGTACTTGTAGAAATAAAAGTATATCATTTGTATTTTAAAAATTTCTATTGTAGAGATGGCTAGAGTCAAGAAAAGAAACCGCTGTCAACTAGTTGCTGTCTGTTTGATTCTACTTTTTACTCCAGGTAAAACCGGCTTATAAATTAGTCGCAAAGACAATATGGCGACGGAAATAATTATTTAGATTAAAAATATTGTAATAGAAATACAACAATATTATAGTTAAATAAAAAAAGGCGCTCTACACAATGCATTTATACAACATACCCCTAACGTTTTCATTATCCATAACATTATCTGTAACATTACACATTTTTGCAACGCTTACCAACATTTGAATTTCACTGCTCTACAATTCTATGACACTACCAAACCTGTCTATGACTTGATCCACCCACATGTGTATGATACCACTGCTACGATTGTATGACACTACTCATGTCTATGACACTATCCAACTACAAGTGCCACTATCGGACATTCGTATAACCCAACCTAATTATCTATAAGTATAATACTACACAACAATTCCATGACACTACCCAACAATTCCATGACATTGCCCAACTACCTATGACACTACCCAATATTTAGATGACACTATCCAACTACCTATGACACTACCCAATATTTCCATTACACTACCCAATATTTAGATGACACTAACCAACTACCTATGACACTACCCAATATTTCCATGACAATACCCAATATTTCCATGACACTACCCGACTAACTATGACACTACCCAACTACCAATGACACTACCCAATATTTCAATGACACTACCCAACAATTCCATGACACTACCAAACAATTCCATGACACTACCAAACAATTCCATGACACTACCCAACTACCTGCGCTAAACTACCTATGACACTACCCAACTACCAATGACACTACCCAATATTTCAATGACACTACCAAACAATTCCATGACACTACCAAACAATTCCATGACACTACCCAACTACCTGCGCTAAACTACCTATGACACTACCCAACTACCAATGACACTACCCAACAATTCCATGACACTGCCCAACAATTCCATGACACTACCAAATAACTCCATGACATCACCCTACTACCTATGATACTACACAACTACCTACGCCACTACCCAACTACCTATGCCACTACCCACAGCTGAGCCTCAGTGTGTCAGTGACTGTACGGGAAAATCCGGTAACTACCCTGACTGCCAGAGCTGCAGCCTGTTCATAGAGTGCAACCAGGACTACTACTACAGGAAATCCTGCGAGAGTGGAACTTACTTTGATGGCGACTCGCAGACATGCACCGCATACATGCCTATATACTGCGAGTAAGTTAACAGGAAAACAAACACGTTAATTCACACAGGATTGAGTTGTAAAATCTTACAACAAACGCATTTATTCACACGTGACTGCGTTTTAAAAAAGTTTAGCAAGAAAACTATAGATTTAATATTGTATAGACTTTTCTAATGATCATAATGAAATCTTTAAAACTAAGCGTTAAGGGTAGAGTCCAATTATCCAACTAGGCAATGGGGGTGGGGGGGGGGGTCTACTGAAAAAAAAGGGCTATTGAAGACGAATTTATTGAGGGAGGGGTCTATTGAGTGATTGAGTGGAGTGTATATTGATGGAGGATTCTACTGGCTGAAAGTGGTATACTGAGGGAGGAGTCTATAAAATGGAGAGGTGGGGTCAATTGCAAGCATATATTTATTGAGGATGGTCCATATAGGAACTGTCTATTGAGGTGAGATCTATTAAGATTGGTCTACTAGAGTGAGGCGTAATAGAACCATGGCTTCTATTTATAGATCAGCAGGTTCTCTTGATATGGGGGAATTTTAAATGCAGTGGACTCATGAAGTAAAAAGAAAATTCTCGCCCAAAAGAGAGCTATGAGTTGTTCAGAAAAAACATTCAATTAAAAAGTATTGAAGTTCACTTTAAAGCAGCCATTGCAATGATCTATGCCTTATTTCACTTCAATGTTATTTAATTTCTAATTAAATTTCTTCCAGCCAAGACGGGAACTACGTTGGCGAAGGCGCTGTGGGATATCCCAGCTATACCCCTGATCCTACATACGCCACCACACCAACATCGTACTACGCCACCCCGGCCCCATACACCACCCCCTCCTCGGATCAGCTCGACTCCGACCCTTTCGCGGCTCTGGACAGCATGTTCGAACCCCAACCAGCTAGCCCCAAAAACGACGACCCGTTTTCCGCGCTAGACAACATGTTCCAGCCCTCTAACGATGGCGGGATGTCTCTGAACGACGTCTTCAACACCGCCGCGGATCCGTACTCCTACGGGTCTCCTATGGATTTCGGAAACACATTCGACGCTTCAGCTGTAGACTACGGCACGCCGGTGACTTACACTACCGCCAACCCCGGGACGACGGCTTTACCTTACTATCCAACTTACAAAGAGCCGTACGGATCCACAGCGGCCCCTCCGGCGTATTCACCACCCCTGAGCAGCGGGGCCAACCCGCCGTACTACTACGAGGTACCCTACGGTACCACAGCATCGCCGTCATACTCTCCAAACTACGAATCTCAGTACGACAACCTGGCCGCCCCGGCGCCCTACTACTCCCCCTCCACCGCAGCGCCGCCGGCGTACACCCAAACCTCTCCGCCCAAATACAACCCCGTGGCCGCCCCACCGCCTTACTACGCCCCCGCGTCATACCCCTCCACTGCTGCTCCACCAACATACGATAAAAACTACAGCCCAACATATGCCCCTCCCACATACAACGCCCAACCCCCATCTTACCCTGTACCCTCAAGCCCAAACACTTACAGCCCATCCCCGAGCCCCGCAACATACACTGCACCCCAGTACCCCGCGCCCGCTCAGTACACGCCCAGTTCCCCTCCATCTTACCCATCATACGGGACAAATAACACTGCTGCTACCCAAGGTAGGAACATAAATTCAATAATTCTAGAAACATATAAATTGTTATAAATATAATAACTTGCATTCATATTCATATGTGATGAGTATGTGAAGTATTCTTTGTAAGAATTTGAAAATATTGTGCTTACGGTAAATTTAATGAATTTATGTAGTAAAAAGTGACGCCCGGGGCGGACCTCCCCAGCACCCCCTAGTAACGCCCAAGAGTAAATAAAAACGTGTTTATTTATCCCACATAGATTACGACGACTGCAGTAATTCTTGTTCGGGTAAATCCGATGGCAACTATCCAGACTGCACATTCTGCAACAAATACTTGGTGTGTAGCAAGGGCGTTGTCAGCAGCTACACGTGCGGGTATGGACAGTACTACGACGAGAAGGTGGGGGCGTGTCAGCAGGACACACAATACCAGTGGTGAGTAAATTAGTAGACACACAATACCAGTGGTGAGTAAATGATGTAGTGGACACACAATAACAGTGGTGAGTAAATTAATGGACACACAATACCAGTGGTGAGTTAATGATGTAGTGGACACACAATAACAGTGGTGAGTTAATGATGTAGTGGACACACAATAACAGTGGTGAGTAAATTAATGGACACACAATACCAGTGGTGAGTAAATTAATGGACACACAATACCAGTGGTGAGTTAATGATGTAGTGGACACACAATAACAGTGGTGAGTAAATTAGTGGACACACAATACCAGTGGTGAGTAAATTAATGGACACACAATACCAGTGGTGAGTAAATTAGTGGACACACAATACCAGTGGTGAGTTAATGATGTAGTGGACACACAATAACAGTGGTGAGTAAATTAGTGGACACACAATACCAGTGGTGAGTAAGTTAATGGACACACAATACCAGTGGTGAGTAAATTAATGGACACACAATACCAGTGGTGAGTAAATTAATGGACACACAATACCAGTGGTGAGTTAATGAGGTAGTGGACATACAACCAATATTGAAGCAATGAACTATTGGGCACACAATTTCCAATCAGCCTTAGAAGAAGAGGTTTTGCGTCTTTTCGAAGGTGCTTATAAAATCCTTTATAATACTTGAAATCTCTTATTTTCATCACAACATTGATACGCATCAGTAGTTAATCTAATACGTTCTTAACATTACAGTAAAAAAAATACCACTACAATCATCTACCACATGCAATATCGAATATTCAGTTGTAAAATTCACAACTGCTAAGATAATGAATAATCTTCCATTAATGATTTAAAATTAAAATTACTATTCAGCAATATTGAGTAAAAAAAAAGATACAGATGGGAAAAACACCCGTATGGAAAAGAATATGATATATTTTAGTTGCCTCCCATTTCAAATAAAAACTGTACTACAGGAGACAACTTGTAACTATGTTCAGAAAATTTGTGATAAATAATTTAAATTTTTTATTTGCATTAATATGAATTAAAATCACAGTTTATTATCTTGTTAAATATTTTTGTATAAAATTTTACACGATAATTCAGTAAACATTTGTATTTTCTAAATTATAAGTATAAGTATTTGATCATAGTATAAGCAAAACCCTTGATCGAATTTCACTTTTTAATTTCTATAAAAACGAAAGAACGCCTTCATTGATTGCTCTTCACATGATGGTCACTTTTGACTTGACTTAATTAAGGATTTTTAAATTTTCACCTTTACTATTATGGGCCCAAATTAAAAATAAAATAATATCCCAAATATATCAAGGTTTGAAGATTATGACCTTGTATAAAAAGTTAAAAATACCATAACAAAATAAAATAATTATGAACACGTGTAATACACCAAATGTGTGGATAAAGAAACAGATGGCCAACACTATCCACAGGATAACAGTGTGTTGGTAACAAACTTACATCATCCCCACAGCATCTCTAGAAAAGTTGTGTAGTTGCTTAGCAAACATTAAACATATAACAAAGTAGACAACCACACATAACATCTCACCAACATCTCTAGAAAAGTTGTGTGGTTGCTTAGCAAACATTAAACATATCACAACGTAGACAACCACACACACCATCATACCAACATCTCTAGAAAAGTTGTGTGGTTGCTTAGCAAACATTAAACATATCACAACGTAGACAACCACACACACCATCATACCAACATCTCTAGAATAGTTATATGTTTTAATTGACAAACATTAAACATATACCAAAGTAGACACCCAACCTGCATACATACCGGGGTACAGTGGCGTAGCGTGGTTGGGTGTCACTCGGTGCGGCACTTAATGGTGTCACCCCCCCCCCCCCCCCCGAGGCGTAGCGACCCTTCCCGGGGACAAACTTTCAAATTTTTTCGATTTGCAACCCCCTTTAAAACTTTCGATTTGCACAACCCCCCTCAAACTTTCGATTTGCACCCCCCCCCCTCAAACTTTCGATTTGCACCTCTTAAAAGACTATTTAACACTCGAATTAATCACTTAATTAAGTGGAATTAACATTTTTCTCTATAAATTTTGCTATTTTTTGCCTTGGTATAACGGACCTAAATGGTGTGATCCGGTGCGGTCCGCACCCCCGCCCCCCCTTCGCTACGCCACTGCCGGGGTACCATCAGAGTTTCTTCCAGGCATCTCTTCGCCCCCCCCCCCCCCCGAAATTTTTTTTACCGCCCCCCCCCCCCCCCGAACGAAATGAAATTTATATAATTTATATAGAAAATATATACTTTTAACAGTGTCCGCCCCCCCCCCCCCCCCTGAAGAAAGTCTACCGCCCCCCCCCCCCCCCCGAAAATTTCAAGTGCCCCCCCGGAGAAAAAAGTCTGGAAGAAACACTGGGTACCATATGTATATGTCGACCACACTCTCCCACGTAATGCTGAATAACGTATTTTTTCTTCCTGTTCCTCAGCTACAGTGCTCCATCGGCATCGGCGTCACCCACATACACACAGCAAGTGGGTAGTGAGCCGCACGCTGGTTCATATTCAGACAACACAGGTGTGTATATGTCATGTTATGTTTAATATACAGGTGTGTATATGTCATGTTAGGTTTAACGTACAGGTGTTTATATGTCATGTTAGGTTTAACATACAGGTGTGTATATTTCATGTTAGGTTTGACATACAGGTGTGTATATGTTATGTTAGGTTTAACATACAGGTGTGTATATGTCATGTTAGGTTTAACATACAGGTGTGTATATGTCATGTTAGGTTTAACATACAGGTGTGTATATGTCATGTTAGGTTTAACGTACAGGTGTGTATATGTAATATTAGGCTTAACTCAATAGCTGAGGACCCGTCTAAGGGAGAAAACTCCAAAAACAAACAACTGCTGGCTTGTAGTTTGGTCGCAGAAAGAAAAGTTTCTACTGGAATAGGAGTCAACGGACCATTTAGCACATCACATGTTGACACGTAGTACTTTATTGTTTTGGAGGAAATCCCTTACAACATCACAATTAAGAACGAAGAAGAAAAACTCCATGAATTTAATAGCTATAAAACATTTAAAATTGTCTCTGTAATCATTCCGAAATAAAAAAAAAAAAACAACTATTATTTTTAGAATAGGATACTCCCACTATCGCTCAATTAATCTCATCCTGTCAACTCCCCCCTCTTCCCCCACGTAGACTTAAGAATATTATGCTACTATTATAGCTGACATTCTCAAAATCTTGTATTTACCCCACCCCCCCCCCCCCTTCCCCCTCCCCCACACCTCCCAGTGTTCAACTACTGTACCCCATCGTGTCGGGACCACACCGGGGCCAGCCTACCCTCGGGCCAGTACCTCCACTGTCACGACTGCTCCCTCTACGTCCACTGCTCCAACGGCATCTACACGGAGACCCGCTGTCCGGCCACCACCATCTACGAGGGCACCGTGGGAGTCTGTGTGTTCGGATCCAAGTCGGACTGGTAAGTGTGTGTGTTCGGATCCAGGTCGGACTGGTAAGTGTGTGTGTTCGGATCCAGGTGGGACTGGTAAGTGTGTGTGTTCGGATACAGGTCGGACTGGTAAGTGTGTGTGTTCGGATCCAAGTCGGACTGGTAAGTGTGTGTGTTCGGATTCGATTGATCGGTTAGAAGTGCTCGAAATTTCGCTCGTCCGTTTCGATCTAACAAGAAAGACTAACAGAGAAAGTAAGTTAAATAAAATCTAGTGAAAATATAATTTTCCCGGGGGGGGGGGGGGGGGGGTGACATAAAAGTAAAGTAAAGTTTCCCTTTCAAACCGGACGGTCTATGGGGCAAGTGAAGTAGAGTTCACTTGTTTCTGTTACCTCGGCATATGAAGAGATAGTGTGGTCAGCACTATGCCCAGCCACCTTTACTTTCCCTAACGTGAGTTAGGTACCCATCAGAGTTGGGTGGACTCAGGGACGGTCTACTGACTTGAACCCGGATTCCATCTCGAGACTTACGGGTTAGCAGTCCAGCTCTCTACCGATAGAGCACTCCGTCCCATTGGGGGGGGGGGGGGGGGGGGACGACGACATTCACATTGGTAAAGTATATATTTTTATATAAATTTTCATTTCGTTCGAGTGAGGCGGGTAGTAGAGATGCCCAGAAGAAACACTACGTACAAGTGTCAATGTCCTGAGGTCCTATCCTTGTTACACACTTCTATTTGCAGCAAACAAGTGACTCAGTTCCCTGGCAACACTCAGCCGTCCTACACTGGGCAGGCGTATGCCACATACCCGTCCCCAGCCCCACAGTATACCAGCCCACCAGCCACATCATACGCCAACCCACCTTACTCCAGCCCACCAGCCACACCATACGCCAACCCACCAGCCACACCATATGCCAACCCACCAGCCACACCATATGCCAACCCACCAGCCACACCATATGCCAACCCACCAGCCACACCATACGCCAACCCACCAGCCACACCATACGCCAACCCACCAGCCACACCATACGCCAACCCACCAGCCACACCATACGCCAACCCACAAGCCACACCATACGCCAACCCACCAGCCACATCTTACTCCAACCCTCAAGCTACACCTTACGCCAGCCCATCTGCGTACGCCAACCCACCAGCCACACCATACGCCAACCCACCAGCCACATCTTACTCCAACCCTCAAGCTACACCTTACGCCAGCCCATCTGCGTACGCCAACCCACCAGCTAAACCATACGCCAACCCACCAGCCACATCTTACTCCAACCCTCCAACTACACCTTACGCCAGCCCCTCTGCGTACGCCAACCCACCAGCCACATCCTACACCAACCCTACAGCCACGTCCTACACCAGCCCACCTGCTTATGCCAACCCACCAGCCACATCCTACACCAACCCACCAGCATATACCAACCCCACATATGCCAACCCACCAGCCACATCCTACACCAACCCATCAGCTGCGAACTCCCTGTACGCCAGCGATCAGTCGCCCAAGTCTCCTTTCACCAACCTAGGTAAGTAAGAAACTAACTTAACGAACTCATCTATTACGAAAAACGTACATTACAATATTTTGTTTCGTTGATGCGGTTTTTGAAAAAAGTTGAGTCAGTGTATTATAACTTTAAGAGGGAATAGGGCGGGTCAAGCCTACACGTGTAATGTTTATCTAGAACAGTTACTTATGTTATGTAACTCCTCTGTTACGAAAAATATACATTACAATATTTTGTTTCGTTGATGTGGTTTTTGAAAAAGTTGAGTCAGTATATTATAACTTTAGGAGTGGATAGGGCAGGTCAAGCCTAAATGTGTTTAAGTCTAATGTTTATCTAGAACAATTACTTATGTTATATAACTCCTTTATTGCGAAAAAACGTACATTATTATTTTTTGTTGTTGTTGTTGAGTTAGTATGATATAACTTCAGGAGTGTGTAGGGGAGGGTCAGACTTAAAAGTGTTATCCCTTTATTAAGGACAGTTACTAATGTTATCTACATAATTAGTTAATCCAGTCGGTTATATTTAAGTTCTGAACTATAGTATTTCCAATATGAATTGAAGTTTTTTTCTGGTAGTATTTGTATATAAGCTGGTGTATGGGTGTGTAAGAGAGGGGGGTGGTTAGCAAGCAGGGAGCGGTGAGCTGATGGTATATTCTTGGGCAAACCGTGATAACGGCTATCTTTACACCCCCCCCCCATAGTGTCCCACCAGTGTATCACGTCATGTGTGACCAGCGGGGGCCGGGCGCGGGAGAACGGCATCTACCCCATCTGCAACAACTGCCGCTCCTTCATCATGTGCGTGTGGGGCTTGACCACCACCCAGGACTGTCCGGCCGGCACGTCCTTCAGCAACAACCTGTTGGTTTGTGACTGGGATAGGGCCGGCAAGTGGTGAGTGGTTTGGCTTGACCTTTTGGTATTCTTTGTCTTGTGGATAGGTCTCTCTTTTTCTCTGTTTATATATACAGTGGCGTAGCGAGGTCGGGTATCACCCGGTGCGGCACTTAATGGTGTCACCCCCCAGAGGCGTAGCGACCCTTCCCTCTGACAAACTTTCAATTTTCGATTTGCAACCCCCCCCCCCCTCAAACTTTTGATTTGCACCCCGCCCCCCTCAAAATTTCGATTTGCACCTCTTAAAAGACTATTTCACACTCGAATTAATCACTTAAGTGGAATTACCATTTTTCTCTATATATTTTGCAGTTTTTTGCCTTGGTGTCACCCCCTAAATGGTGTCACCCGGTGCGGTCCGTACTCTCGCCCCCCCCCCCCCTCTGTATATATATATATATATATATATATATATATATATATATATATATATATATATATATATATATATATATGATTTCTAATTTCGCTTCTAAACTTGATAAAAAGAAATTTTCGCCCAATATATTTTTGCTCTTAGCTAAAACTATATGTATTTACAAATGCAATAAAAAGTAATGATTAATTTTTCTTTAATAATAATATGTTAATTAAAAGTCTCAGAAATTAGGCTATGTAACCTATGCATATGTATTGAAGTAATACCACTACAAGTTAATATTCTGATAGTATTTTTTTGAGTTAATTACTAACTTGAATTGCTGTTCAAAAAATAGAAAGTATCCGTGCAGAGATTTGGTAATGCTGATACATAGCTTATCAGAATACGTTGTTAACATGGCATTCAATGTTTTCAGCACGGCTAATGGTTTCCAGTCTCTGCAGGCTCAGAACCCTGGTGATGGTGTAATGACAGGTGAGTGTGGGGTCGGTTTATAACGAGATTTGAGGTGGTTGGGGTGGTGGTGGTACGAGGGTTGGGGGACGGGGATGGTCAACACTCCTCTAATTCACTCAACACTTCTCTAATTCACTCAACACTTCTCTAATTCACTCAACACTTCTCTAATTCACTCAACACTTCTCTAATTCACTTAACACTTCTCAAATTCACTCAACACTTCTCTAAATCACTCAACACTTCTCTAAATCACTCAACACTTCCCTTATTCACTCAACACTTCACTAATTCACTCAACACTTCTCAAATTCACTCAACACTTCTCTAATTCACTCAACACTTCTCTAATTCACTCAACACTTCACTAATTCACTCAACACTTCTCTAAATCACTCAACACTTCCCTTATTCACTCAACACTTCACTAATTCACTCAACACTTCTCAAATTCACTCAACACTTCTCTAAATCACTCAACACTTCTCTAATTCACTTAACACTTCTCTAGTTCACCCAACTCTCCTGGAATCGTGCCAAAGTACCGACGGGCCAGTGGCCGACGGTCAGTACGGCTCAGAGAACTACTGCAACATGTACATACGCTGTGAGAGGGGTCAGGCGACCCGGCTGTTCTGTGACAGGGGTCAGCTGTACGCAGAGAACCAGGGCGCCTGTGTGGCAGACATTGATGGAATCTGGTGAGGCGGGGACTTTTTTCTTTCAGTTTTATTTATACGTCTTTAAGTTCTTTAAAGAGTATTCATTGAGACTAGAAAGGATGTCGTTATTTCGTGGCATATGGCGCTTGTAAACCTGGCAAACGTTGTACGATTACAATAATTCCTCTATACTTCGTATACGAGAAAGTAATAAACCGGGAGTGATCTCCCCTAAACTTTCTCGAATATTTTTATATAAATGATTAATATAACAGGGGATGGGAACTCGGGCTATAGACATGATTTTTAATCCATTTTAAATACTTAAAGTTTTAAAAATAGAATGAAATCTCGTGGACAAAAGAATTACACACCAAGTGAACGCTAAATAAAAAAGTGCATACTAGTGCGCAATATTATTAGTACTTTAAAAATTTACATTAGTTTTTTGAGAAATCGGAAGTGGCGTAAATTACTACTTCCGGTCAACGGAAGTTACTCAAAATTTAACAGAAGGTAGAGAATTAGATCTTATACTTACATGTGAAATTTCATTTATCTATCTGAAATAGTACTCAAGTTATAGGCTTTTGAAAAATTCAAAGTAGGAAAAATACCACTTCCGGTTATCGGAAATCGCTCAAAAGTTGATACGGATCTACGATTTTGATAAAATACTTATATATGAAATTTCATCAACCTAGCTGTAACGGTACTCAAGTTATCGTGTTTACACACGAACACACACAGACATACGGACAGAATTGCAAAGCCCGGTTTTTCAGACTGGATTACGCATAAAACCTCTTAGTTTTGATAAATCTGGATTGATAATTTTTGCCCGATTAAAATAAGTCCTCTAAACTTCGGATGTGATGAAGGACTGAGGTGTAATACGGTGAAAATTGTTAAAATTTCAAGTGATTTTTGTGCACGATTACAATACTTTCTCTATACTTCGTATATACGAGAAAGTAAAAATGAGAAATATGACGTATGAAAAAGATCGTAACCAAATAAAAAAATCTCAAACATTCCAGTGTCCAGTCTTCGGATGATTTAGGTCAAGGTTTTGCACCTGTTGTGCCAGAATCTCAGCCCAGACCAGTCGAGTCGACTCTACCAGGTGAGTGGCAATTCTAACACCAACACTACACACATAACACAACACGCAAACATAACACAAAAACACAAAATACAACACGCAAACATACCAGTGGCAACTCTACTACCCACACAACACAAACACAAAACAACACGCAAACATAACACTAACACACATACAACACACACACAACCACACAAACACAACACAAATAAATGCAATACATAAAACACAACCCACAAATACAACCCACAACATTTTTTACACATACAACACACAAACAAATACAATCAGGAAACACAACACAAACACATCACAAAAACACAACACAAACATAACACAAAAACAACACAAGGACATGATTACAGAGCTGATACAAACTTTTCACCTAACGTTGTCATGAAAAAGCTTATCATTTATTCCTATGTGGAATCATTTGCATTAGAAGTTTAATCAAACCAAATATTTAAAATTTAAAATGACGTTTAGAAGCAGTAAACTAAATATGCTTGCTATCAAGATGCCAGACTGCAAATTACAAACGCCTTTTTGTCACATTTATTAAACCGGTCATTAATGGAGAACTGCTAAACATAAAAGTAAAAGTAAAGTTCCCTTTCAAACATGACATAAAGTTAACTTGTTAACTGCTTAATATATGCCTAATCAATTTTCACCATTAAAATGATCTTTAAAATCTGTTTTAAAAATGTACAATTTAGAATCAGCTATAAGTGATTCAAACCGCTGTGATAGAAACATCGCAATTGTTTCGTTTGTTTTGAGATTTTCTGTCTTTTTAATTTGTTATTATTATTTTCTAATTTTGTTAAAATCAAGAAACTAACACATGTTTTCTATAAACTAACACAAAATACTTTATGTTTTCCATAAACTACCACAAAATACTTTGTTTTCCATAAACTAACACAATATACTTGATGTTTTCCATGCAAGTGTTTACGGGATGCATCAGGAGCTGTATAGAGGGAGGTATTGTACGGCAGAACGGCAGGTACAGCCACTGTGATTACTGTAACGTCATACTGGACTGTCAGGGCGGTGCGCAGGCGCAGTACTTCTGTCCGGACCACGAGATGTACATGGAGGCCACGGGCAAGTGTGAGAAGGACTTCAAGGGGGAGTGGTAAGGGCAGGGATTTTTTTTTTGCTTGTCTTTAGTCAGTTTTAAAACTGTTAAGAGTAGGTTTCGTTTACGTGACTTTTGTCTTCTAAAACTGTTAAGACACACTTTATTGTTCTCCAAATGTAACTATCTGTTACCAATGTATTTCTTATTAATCTTGGCTAAAACTTTTTTTTTACAAAAAAAAAAAAAAAAAAAAAAAAAAAAAAAAAAATTATTAAAATAAAAATAAAATAATAAAGCACGAATTACCAAGAATTGTTATAAAAGACAACAGTTGTTATTGAGGACAACAAATGTTATATTTAAAATAGCAATTTTTTATTGTCGTTATTTTCAATAATTTAAGAATACAAATAGGATTATATTTTCTAGTTATTCCTAGCATTCGGAAACATAACTAATGTAGTATTTGATTTTTACTAGCCATTCGGAAAGATAACTTCTGTAATATTTTCTAGTTTTTCCTAGTCATTCGGAAAGATAACTCCTGTAATATTTTCTAGTTTTGCCTATCCATTCGGAAAGATAACTCCTGTAATATTTTCCAGTTACGCCGAGCCCTTCAAGCTGTCGGTGCTAGACTTCTGTGTGGACTCGTGCACCGACGTGGCCGACGGCCGCTACAGCTCCTGCACCTACTGCAACGTCTACGTGGACTGTATCGGCGGGGTGGAGAAGATGGGCTTCTGTCAGCAGGGGGAGAAGTATGGCAGGGTCGAAGGTCAATGTGTGGTGGATACTGATCATGAGTGGTGAGTAGTGGGGGTGGGTTGGGAAGGGTTGGGGTAAGAGGTTTGGGGCGGGGACGGGGAATGGTGGGGAAGAGTTGGGAAGGGAATGGGGTTGGAGGTTGGAGTTACGTATAGGCTTGGAGTTTGGTTATGAATGTTGGGAGGTGGGGGGGGGTTGTAGTTAGATAGTGGGTGGTGGAGTTTGGTAGTGGGAGGGTAGTTTGGTAGTGGGAGGGTAGTTTGGTAGTGGGTTGCGAGTTTGGTAGTGAGAGGCGAAATTTGGTAATGGGGGGGGGGTAGTTTGGCAGTGTGTGGCGAGTTTGGTAGTGGTAGGGTAGTTTGGTAGTGTGTGGCGAGTTTGGTAGTGATAGGGTAGTTTGGTAGTGTGTGGCGAGTTTGGTAGTGATAGGGTAGTTTGGTAGTGTGTGGCGAGTTTGGTAGTGATAGTATTAAATACGAAATCACTTGCTAATGATTTAACCTACCTAAACTTGCTGGAGAAAACAGTTTGAACACACGCTTTAAGGAATCAAATCTTCTCTTTACAGCACACCTGATAGCGGCGATATGACAGGTGAGTTTTTTTTTTAACATTTGCACATTTCAATAGTGCAATAGGCTACCAATACAATACTGCATTTAAAACGTGTTGCGTAAATTGTTCAAGCTGAACTATTCCACATTTAGACATTTTAATGTTACAATACGACACTATATGTGGAGGTATTCCCTAAGTAGATGTTTTTGTACACAGACGGTCGTTGAGCTATCTATTGTATGATATTTCTATCAACTCAGCTATTTCTATCTGCGGTGTTATATTTCTATCAACGGGTATCTACTATTGCTATTTCTAGCTGCTGTCTATTGTTTCTATTAATTTGCATATACTACTATTTCTATCAATGTTTTAGGTTTACTATCAACTTAGGTCTAATTCATTAATTTCTATCTAAAATCCAATATTTCTACCGGTTGTCTAATAATTCTATGAATTTATGTAAAACACATCAATTTCTATAAAAAAATCCAATATTTCACCTAAAATTTCTATCAAATTATATCTAACTCATCTCTTTCTAAAATCCAATATTTCCACCTTTTTGTTTTACTCTTTTGTTTGTTTTAAAATCCAATATTTCTACCTGCTATTTAATATTCCTATCAACTTAAATCTAACTTATCTATTTCTATCTAAAATCCAATATTTCTATCTTTTGTCTAACTCATCTATTTCTATCTAACATATTTCTACTTTTGTCTAACTTGTGTATTTCTACCTAACATATTTCTACATTTTGTCTAACTTTTGTATTTCTATCTAACATATCTCTACCTTTTGTCTAACTTTTGTATTTCTATCTAACATATCTCTACCTTTTGTCTAACTTTTGTAGTTCTATCTAACATATCTCTACCTTTTGTCTAACTTTTGTATTTCCCTCTACGATATTTCTACCGGCCAGTCTTCGACCAGTGTGTGGAGGATGAAACAGCACCTGGCAACTACCAAGACGGCCGGTATGCCAGTTGTAGCTACTGCAATGTTTACTTCGAGAGGACCAACAACGTGTGGGAGAGGAGGTTTTGTTCTGACCGGAACAAGTACGTGCAGGCGTCTGGCGCATGCGTGGAGGACACTACTGGAGAATGGTAAAGTTTGTGGGTACAGTTAGGACACTACAGGAGAATGGTAAAGTTTGTGGGTACAGTTAGTATACTACAGGAGAATGGTAAAGTTTGTGGGTACAGTTAGGATATTACAGGAGAATGGTAAAGTTTGTGGGTACAGTTAGACTCGACTATATTGAGACTAATAGTTTTATCGAGGTGATATCAATATACACAAACAAATATGTACTGCTTACGTGTCCAGATTTCTTGATAAAAATGTGTTAACATTTAAAACGTTTGTAATTTATGAAACGATCGTTCGTCTAAAACTAAATCTTTATTTTCTCCAATAACAACACCAATTCCTTCGGGTTTGGTCTAAACAGATAAGAATAGGGTGAGAAAGAAGGTTAGATACTTTTTAGTGTTAGCAAAGGAGTGAAACAATACTATTGATAGGTTTTGGCGTGCAATTCTTCTTCTTCTATGTTTTAAATTGTAACATTGAAGGATATTACCCCCGATACAATTCAGTATTACGTGTCAATATTTAATGGGCCATATGGCCCGTCGACTCAAACTTGTGTCTGCTTTTATTCTGGGATTTGCTTCATGGCCTATACTAACACAAGAACAAACTGCAAAGCAGCAATTGTTTGATTTTGGAGTTGTTTCTCCTAGATGGGTTGCTGTCCCCAGCTATCGAGCTGCATCTGCCCCGGGGGATCCTAACCGGGGACTTTTATCGCTAGCAATCAAACGCTCTCCTACTCAACCACGCCTTCCCCTTTTATGTGCAATAACTGTCTTGATCTTATCACACCCCCAAATGTGTTGCCTGAAGCTGAGACATTCCCCCCATAAATAATAAAAAACAGTTCAATGAATCTTTGTTTTATTTTGCCCCCAGCTTCACTGAAGGCGCGGGCAACAATACCTTGGCACTTCCACCCTGTAAGTATGGTAGAGTAAGGTGGTCCATTAATGGAGTCCATTAAGGGAGTCCATTAATTGAGTCCATTAAGGGAGTCCATTAATGGAGCCCATTAAGGGAGTCCATTAATTTCATCTGACATCAGTCATCAACTCCACATCTATTTTGATACATCAATGAGCATATTACACTGACCCCAGCCATGTTTTATGACGTCATTGGCCACCCCCCCCCCCCCCATCATATTCTCCCCACCCCTGTATTATGACGTCATTGATCCCCATCACATTGACCCTCAGCTCTGTTTTATGACGTCACTGAGCACTATTATTTTGATCCCAGCCCTGTTTTATGAAATAATTGACCCCCCATCACAATTACCCCCTAATCCCCTGTTTTATAATATCATTAACCCACCCCTTTTTCTGACATCATTGAGCCCTTATCCCAATGACCCCCATCACATTGGACCCACATCCCAACGAACCCCATCACATTGACCCCCCACCCCTGTTTTATAATATCGTTGACCCACCCGTGTCTTCTGAGTTCATTGACCCCCCATCCCAACGACCCCCATCACATTTACCCCCCCCCCCCAGCCCACCCTTCTATTAACCCACACACTCCACCATCCTATTAACCCACACACTCCACCCTTCTATTAACCCACACACTCCACCCTTCTATTAACCCACACACTCCACCCCCAGCCCACCCTTCTATTAACCCACACACTCCACCCTCCCAGCCCACCCTTCTATTAACCCACACACTCCACCCCCAGCCCACCCTTCTATTAACCCACACACTCCACCCGTCTATTAACCCACACACTCCACCCCCAGCCCACCCTTCTATTAACCCACACACTCCACCCTCCCCAGCCCACCCCGATTGTATCAAAGACTGTATGGGTGACGACGGTCCCGTGGCCGACGGCTTCTACTCCCACTGTGAGTACTGCAACGCCATCCTCACGTGCATCGGGGGCGTGACCATGTTCGAGTTCTGTAGCCCGGGGTACGGCTACAACATGGACAAAGGGAAGTGCGACCTTGACCCTAACCGAAAATGGTGAGTGGCTGTACTCTTGTATTACAAGGTGAAGGGTTATGTTTTAGTTTTTGTATTAAAGTGATTGTTTGAAATACGATGGTAAATGATATGTGTATAATCAATGATATATCAATGTTGAGACTTCAATTATTTGATTAAAAGAGTTAATGTATTGGGTATTGGTGTAATTTAAAAATAAAAGCGTAGGCCTACTTCTTGAAGGAATAATAATAAAAGCTGCAACAGTGACTAACAAAATGACTGTAAATCACAAGGAAAAAGCAAACTTCTTTTATGTGATATGTTTTGAACATATTATATTAAAACATGTTTATTTTATATCAAAGTAAAGTTAAGATGCGCAGATAAAGTAGAGTTCATATGTTTCTTGACCTCGGCATTTATAGGGAAAGCGTGGTTATCCATTTGCCCAGTCGCATTTACTTTCGCTAACATGAGTTAGGTACCCATCAGGGACGTACTAAAGATTGAACCCGGATTCGAACTCTAGACTTTCGGGTTAGCTGTCGAGCTCTCTACCGCTTAGACCATGTCGTCCCATTTAGATTTAAAAAAAAAATGATATTTAAAGTTTTAACAAAAGGGAAACGAACGTGACTTTATAACATGACTTATGACTTATGTGTCTCACGTGATCTGTAAACTTTGTTTTGTCACGCCAGCGAAGAGCCGCTGAACTTGCCGGAGCCAATCACGTTTGATGAGCCGGACAACCAGATGGTCCTGATCAAGGCGACACGACCTGGCGTCAACCGTGAGTACAGTCTAGGGTTAGGGTTAGGCTAGGCTAAGGCTAGGCTAGGCCAGGCTAGGCTAAAGCTAGGCTAGGTTATGGTTTTAATGGAATGTTTTTGTAAACTGGGTGAGAAATATAATTTTATTTTAATATTTTAAAGAAATAGTGTTTGTTGGATTGAGATCTATGGGTTTTTGGTAGTGTAACTGTGGTAACAAGGAAGTAAAGTACCCTTCCAAAGCTGAAGCTCCATGTTGCAGTTAATGCTGATTTCATTTTCCCCTTCCAACAGTGAGTTAGTGGTGATTATCACTTTACAATCTTAACAGGTTTCGTAGGTGTACAAACATTGCATTGAGTCCCTATACGTGGTTTGTGTTACAATGACTGAGTTACTATACACCAAAGCATTTATGTTAAATACCCTCTCAATCATATTTTGACACGAGTTCTTTAAGACTCACGTGCACACACTTGATGTTGTTTGTGAGCGAGCATATTAGCGCCCTCTCTCTCACAAGTCTAATACTTGTGAGTACATCAACACTCACGTTCACCTACAATCTAATATTTCGATGTGAGTACACGAAGACTCACGTTCTAATAATTCTAACCACCACACCACAACTCCCCCACCCGCCTCTTTCAGTACTCACGGCGTGCCTGGACTCCTGTGTGGGACCCAACAACCAGCTGGCACCGGACGGCTACTACAGCTACTGTCCGGAAAAATCCGGCTACATCCTGTGCGACAAGGGCCGGACATTCATCTACTACTGCATGGAGGGCGCGACATACCTGGCGGAGAACGGCACGTGCATGATGTAAGCGGTGACGTCATAACTCCACCCCCTCTTATAGTAATTAGTAGCCTTAGATTTGTTCATAAAATGTGATGCATTTTGTGTTGCATATTTCATAGTCCTCCCCCCCCCCCCCCCCATCGTACCACTTTGTCACACAAAGTCAGACACCCTTCTGTTTTAAGAGTGTGACATGCTTATAATGACCCATTAACCCTTAATTTTAGTTTTATATAATTGTGACTCCAGTTGTCAGCAATGATTTCACCAATACCCCCCATGAACGTGCGCATGGCGTTACATTACAAAGCATTTATTTAAAAAATTCAGTGAAAGATTTAGAGTTCAAACGAAAACAGAATAAGCCCCACTAACAACTTGAGTAGTCTAGGTACAAACCATACAGTCTTTAGGAGTGATGAGTTTATTATCTGTACATTGACTTATGAAGGAACTGTGTGATCAGCCTTATGACATTAAAGCTTTTACTTAAATTGATATGACCTAGTACTCTTTAGACCTAGGTGGACCCTAAGTAATTCTCAAGACTTCTGCTTTTTTTTTTCCAGAAGTTCTCTGAGCACTGCCAAGCATGGACAATCTGTTCTAAGAGAAGGCGAACTAGGTCAGTTCTAGACACTTGGACATATGCAGACACCGATATTTATTTGACTCAATCCAGACAATTTATGTATCGCTATCAGATATATATATATATATATATATATATATATATATATATATATATATATATATATATATATATATATATATATATATATATATATTGATAATCCACCGAGCATACACCTACTAATCCACTGTCCACACCCCTGCTAATCCACTGTGTCACCCCACAGGTCACCCCGCCTGCATCAGCAACTGTTTCTTCTACGACAAAGTGGCGCCCTCTGGCAGGTACCGCCACTGCGAGCACTGCGCCCAGTCTGTCGTCTGCAGCGGTAACCTCATGCACCGTGAGTCCTGCCCAGTGGGGACACGCTACTACTCACCTGCTGGCACGTGCGATGAGGACACGATAGGCCAATGGTGAGCTGTTGTTTACATTGTGGGGGTGGGGGGGTGGGGTGTGGGGGAGAGGTCTACGTATATATAGTAAGCTATTATATACATTGTGTGTGGATGTGTGTGTGTGTGTGTGGGGGGGGGGGGGGGAAGTTGGGGAGGTCTACATCCATATAATGAGCTGTTATTTACATTGAGTGTGTGTGTGTGGGGAGTCTACATTTTCATGGTGAGCTGTTATTTACATTGTGTTAGGGGGGGGAGTGGCTACTTTTTATAGTAAGCTGTTATTTACATTGAGTGTATGTGTGGGGGTGGGGTGTATGTGGGAGGGAGGAGGTCTACATTTATATAGTGAGCTATTATTTACATTGAGTGTGTGGGGTTAACCGGTTTAATGTGTGTTGGAATAATGTGTGTTGGACTACAGGCCAAGAAAAATCATTATAATTATAATTAATAGTAAGGAATTGCTACTTCACCTCGAAATATTTTAATCCAAACCTATAGCTCTATCGTTAATAATTTAGTCCTGGACTGGACTCCAAAAACTATAAATGCGATGGTACGGCTAATCTTTACTGTATTCCTGACGCTCTTCCATCCCTCTTTTAGTTTTATAATAACTTATTTTAACCCCTGACTATACCGAAATATTAAATTACGTATACGATGGTATGTCTAACCGTTATGACGCCCTCCTATCCCCAGTTGGCCCAGCACAAACCTCCCCGCCACCTCCGCTGTTCCATCCAACGCCCTGGTCCTCAACCAACCGGTCGCCAAGTCCGACTTGGTTCGAATGCTCCAAGACGCCAGGGAGGGCCGGCTGTTCTGGGGCCAGTCCCAACTCACGGACTACATCCTGGGGCTGCTGCGTGAGATGGCTAACAGGATGATGGTGCCGGTGGAGACACAGGCGCCGCTAATGGCAGCACCAGCGGTCGACCCCAACGCACCAATGATGGGACCTCAACCCCTGTTCGACCCCAACACCAACCAGTACTACTACCCGCCACAGATGTACCTCCCGCCCCCACCCAGTTACGAGAACCCACAGACGTACCTGCCACCCTACCAGCCCTACCCCACAGACCCGAACATGGGATAGATCCCGCATTGTGAAGCCATCTGACCGCAAGCAGGTTGTCCATTTCAATCATGATCATCTTTTGTAACTCTTGCCAATCAAATAAACGGCACAGTTTGTAATACAGTCTTCTGAGTTACGTTTTTAACTTCGTTCAATACTAGTAGAATCCTATCTTATCCTTTTATCTATTGAAGTTAGACTATTTACAGATGGGAAAATTTTATGTTAGCCATCACAAGACGTATTTTGTATAACATTAGGCAGTCAAATAGCTTTTTACTTGGATAAGATGGTAAGCGTCACTTTAAAGCATGGCAGTATTAACGTTTGCGTTATTTTATATGGTCAATGTTATAACCTAGTTCATTACTATTAAGATGGTCACTTAGCATCACTTATGAAAAAATTAACTGCTTTAACTGACTGGGACTAGTAAAGTGATTTAATTTGATAATTGTTGACAACATTAGCGTTAGTTTTGGATGAAGTACAAAAAACAAAATAGTACATTATATTTCACAAGCATGTTTATTGAAGTGTAAAATATTTGTACATATTAAAAAAAAAACATGCATTGCATATAAAAACAATTGGCTTGTCTAAGTTACAATGAACACAAGCGTAAGATGACAAAATTTAATTACTGGATGATTGAAGAATAAGTAATTTGCAGTATGAGACTACCAAACATTTCTACAAAATAAGTAAACATTTTCTAAAGCCGACTAAAATGAAATTCCAAATAAAAATCCACAGGCACATTAATACCATCAGCCACAGTATTTGTTAAATGTCTAAAATCTAAGAGGTAAGTATCTAATTTATAAACTTGCAGACGTTCTTAACACATAGAACAAGGCGGCTGTAGGAACAAGTTTACAGTTAATCTACATCTAATTAGACAGCTTTGTGGAGAAGGGAGGTATTTTGTTAAATATCAGTGTAACTAAACATTTAAAACTTACAATACAAACGTACAAAATACGATGATTACAACAATAAAATTCACAACAGATAGGACTATATATTAACAAACAAGAGCTGAACTATACAAAGTTGAGTACACAGCTATATTCACAACAGATCTATATATTAATAAACAGAAGAGTTGAACTGTTAAAAAAAAAGTTTTGAGTACTTCCCAACACTGGGGATGGAACAGTGTTAGGTGTGCTGTTGTACTGCAGCCCAATGTTAAACCAAAAGTTTTGTATTTCAAAAAACGTAGCAAATGCTACACGAAACTAACCAAGAACCATCTCTATGGATTTAGTGATGAAAGAAAGACTTACATTTAGAAACTAGAGTAAAAGTTTACAGTAATCTACTGAGAGGTAAAATACCATTGGGGCTATAGTCAAACTGAAATGATTTTATAAAGTCGCGATTAAGTATTTTAGTCTAAAACAACTGGTGTTTGTTGCGATGTATCACCAGTGTGAAAAGCCCATAGTTAAATTACTGGAGAATAGACCAAGGTATAAAGTTTGAGTGAGTGAATACAACACATCCAATTGGTGTAGTGTGTAAGAGTAAGTGAGAAAGTTGTGTCGTAACCATCACCAGGAATGAGGTAAACAGTTTACTGATGTTTTCTGACGCCAGAGATTAGATGGCGTTCTTGGAGAGTGGCACAAGTCCTTAGTGGAATAGTTAAATAAATTTTAGATGTAATGTGTATGCAAGTGCTAGAGTGAAAATACCCAAACACTAGGACCACCACTGTGAGATTAGACCGAAGTCTAGTGTTGGTGTAAGTGTTTAAGGTATGGAAGTGTATTTTTTTTTAAAAATGTATGAGCAAATGTTATGGGATGTAAAGGGGATCTTATCCAAAACAGTATTTAAACACTGGGGGATAGACCAAGGTCTAGTGTTCGAATTATTGTTTTGTCAAAGTGTGCTAAATGTGCTGTGTTGATATTTAATGTGTGTAGAACTTCAATGCCCTTAACTGAGCAACCACCAATAGGACCGCGTATTTTACTGAACTGTCGTAATAGTGTACATAGAGGGTAAATTGAGTATCAAAAAGTGTTGCGCAGAGCTAATGTGATTTTAACACTTTAAAACTGGTAAAACTTTACAGTGCTGGCCGTAACGAAGATCGAGTCGCGCTGATGTGAAATGTGTAGTAGTGTGTATTGTATATTCATGAGTCACCTAGGTAACGTGGAAAGAGCCGCAAAATAGTAGCACCATCACAGGGGGATAGACGGAAGTCTTGTGTTGGTTTACTATTTAAAGGCCCTGGTCCAGTTAGTGTGTAGTGAGTGAGTAATGTGTAGTGTATCTGCAGTAAATGTGACAAGATGTGTAGACCGTAGTGAATAAATATTCGTTAACACCCAACACAGATTTAAACAGTTTGGCTTTCCTCGGGTCAGAGAAGCCACTTAAGTTTTCCTAGATTGTCTCACAAAATAGAAGAGTTTAGTTTTAACATTTAAGTTTTAACTGCTGTGAATGTTCTTCCTAGTTTCACGAGTTTAACTGCTGCGAATGGAAAGGCTATGTAAAAATTGTAACTGCCTTAAATTCATAGCACCAACACTGGGGGATAGACCAAGGTCTAGTGTTTGTTTTAGGATTTCAAGGCAGGAGTGTCTGTTTTTATAAACAAACAAAAAATAAACAACCAAAGCTGAACGCTATCGCCAACAAATGCTGTAAAAAATGCCCATAGTTAGGATTGTACATAATTGTATTGTGTGGTAGTGCAGCTTGATAATGCCTCAACCAGAGACAACACTTGTGGGATAGACTAAAAGTCTAGTGTTGTCTTTAGTGTTAGCACTATTGTTAGCTGACATGGTGTAATTATGTGTGATGTGAACATTGGCTGTAGGTAAACTGCCGCAAACATTTAAACCACCACTGGGGGATAGACCTAAGTCTAGTGGTGGCTCAAGTGTTTAATGGCCCGTCTGGTGTTTAGTTGTGTTTAGTGGTGTTTAGTGTGAGTTGCTTGTGAATGGTTGTACAAGGGAATTTTCGAAAGAGTAGAGAGCCGAAAAAACAACAGTACATTCTTTAACAGATATAAATGTCTACTAATTGTTGGCGTTAGGGTTTAAGCTATTTGTGTATGTTTAACTAGTGTTAATCTGTTATGTACAAATGTTAAAGTGGAAACTGTCCCAATGGTACTTTCAACTCGTGAAACATTTGGCTAAACACGTTAAGGTTTTACTTTCAACACGCTAAAGAAACTGCCATGTCGCCGACACAATCGTGTAAGATATGTGTTAAATCTGCGTATGTAATAGTGAATGTTGGAGATGCGGGATAGAACAAAGAGTTAACACTTGTGGATAGAGCGAGGTCTAGTGTTTATGTTTTAGTGTGAGGCATGGATATGACGTGATAAGGTTATAAAGGCTAGGATAAATAGTGTATTTGTATATTAACACTAGGGTTGAGTTGGAAACTGCCCCAACAGTAAAGCCAACACTGGGGGATAGACTTAAAGTCTAGTGTTAGCTTTAGTGTTGGAGACAATTGAAATAAAACTCAAACCACTGCGTTATGTTTTATAGAAGACCGGTGTTAAGGTCTTAAGTGGAGATAAAGTTTTGCAATGAGAAAATTGTCCAAACAGTAATAGCAACACTGGGGGATAGACCGAGGTCTAGTGCTGGTATTAGTGTTTTAATACAATTTATGTCATCTTAATTTACTGTGAGAAGCTAGAAGTAAGATATTGTGTTGTGGACAGACGTGTATAGTGCGAGAAATAAATGAAAAGTTGTCTAATGGTAGAACAATTTGGATTAGTGTAAGCTCAAGTGATTTAAGGCGTTCTAGATTGCTTGTAATATGTGCAGGTTGTGTACTGTGTAGATTGAAGTCCGGTATATCCTCAAGCAGTAGCACCAAAACTGGGGGATAGACGCAAATCTAAGTGTTGATGTCAGTGTTTGTAGGTGTGCTCATTAGAGAAATAAGTCTAGTCATGTGTAATGTGCTATGTGGTCTGGGATAGTCAGGTATGTCCTCAAACAGTAGCACCAAGACTGGGGGATAGACGCAAGTCTAAGTGTTTGCGTTAGTGTTACAAGGTGTAGGCCTATGTGTGAAGGGTTAGACTGGAGATTGACTTTTAAAGGCCTCAAACGGTAAAGTTAACACTTGTGGGATAGACGTGTCTAGTGTTAACTTAGCGTTTCAAGCCGTGTCTGGTGTGTAGTGTGTAGTTGTGTAATGCTGGTCTGTCGTGTAGCGTCCTAATCAATTGAGCAAACTCTAGCAGACTGTAAGCGTATATTAAACGTTATGTCTTGTGTATTGTGTGTAATTACATTAGATATGCGTGTAAATGTGCAGTTGAAAAAGTGTACATAGTCTCCATACAGTAGAACCAACACTGGGGGATAGACCAAAGTCTAGTGCAGGTCTAGTTTATGAAGCTATGACGATGTATTTGTGTGCAGTGTAGTTCTAGTCTGAGAAGGCAAAAATGCATTAGTACAGCGACTTGTCAAAGATCTAACCCTGTTGTCAGATTGTTTTATGGCATAGACGTGTCAATCTTTAAACGTGGAATGTTCAAATCCCTAACAGCATAGCTAGCATATAAAGGCACTAGTTTTATTAGGTGTTTTACTAAAGATCTGGAAGTTATAAAGCCCAATAGAACCGTGCGGGTGAGACCAAAGTCTAGGTGTGTGTGTGTTTTAAAGCATGGACGTTAGTCTATGTAAACTGTCAAGGATAGAAAACTTGTGAAGACTAGGAAAACAAGTCTTGAGATGTAAAATTAGCTTCACCAGGACGTGAGAAAGACAAAATGTCTGATAGTATTTTAGCTTAGTCTTGCTATATTCTATGCAGTTCGTGCAGTTAAAACATCTAAGTACAGAGAGCCTTTAACAGTATCACCACCACTGGGGGATAGACCGAAGTCTAGTGGTGGTGAAGTGTTTCAAGGTGCAGAAAGTGGTGTACAGAAATAGTGTGGTATCAACTGTCTCATTTCTATACGGTAGAACAGATTTAAAGTCAAGTTGCTGCAATTGTGTGCATGCGATTATGGTGTGTATTGGGTGAAAAATACCAAAACCTAGCACCAACACTGGGGGATAGACTGAAGTCTAGTGTTGACACTGGTGTTGGAATGGAGTGTTTAGCTGTGTCGTATCTAGTTAAATAGCACCAAGACTGGCATTGGTAAGAGCCAAGTTGTAAGTGTTTAATCACTAAAGTGCACTTCGTGTAGCTGTACATTTCAATTGTTAAAAACCTCATTCAACTGGTGGGGAAGACTACCAGTTTTAAATATTTAATGTGTTTGAAGTGTTAAGTATGGAGTGTAGTTAGAACATTGGATCAGTTCCTCAAATAGTAGCACCAAACACTGGGGGATAGACCAGAGTCTTAGTGTTTGTGTTAGTATTTCAAGGGAGGTGAATCATGAAGATAAGCAGAGAAAGGACGAAGTAGACAAGGGGATTTGTGTAGAGGCGAACATTATGGCGTACACTCAACAATCACCGGTTTACTAAAATTCTAAGTTAAAAACTAAGCACACTTAACTTTATGCTAAATTTGAATCTATTTTTTCCTAAACATTCACGATCCAAAGATTTAGATGATTCTCAGTTAAACTAATCAAGAAAAACTTAAACGCCTAAATGATCTAACAAAACTGGCTTTGGTGGCTTGATATAAAATCAAAAGCAAGTTTTGCGCTTTGTAGGGTGGTACAGCATTAAACTAGACAAGATACAAGACTTAGACGGAACTATTACATTTAAGACTAGACTGTGGGTGCAGGCGTACAATTTACAACCGAGATAAAAGATAACATAGTTTTATACATGTTAAGTGGTCTAAGTGGTTACAAATTTAGAAATCCTTGGATGAAATTAGCTGGCGAGAAAAAGATAGGACAACCGCGGAGAGGATAGGATAGGGAGACTTGATAAAAGCTGTCGATTTTTAAAATACCAAACTATTTAACGTACCATAATGGTATGCAAAGCCAAAGTCACGGGTTAAAAGACTAATTAAGTTGGCATTAAATGTTCGCTGAAGTTTGCAATAAGAATTAGATACAAGTACACTATAGACACTGCTCCAACACAAGTTACTAGCCAGTCCCAATTATCGTTCGGCCTGAATCTAGAAGCTTAACCAGTTACTTGAGCTGAAACTGCATCATTTATAAAGTCTATTAATCCAACTTAATATACAATTCAATTAAAATATCTAATTACACATGTACATATTTACAAGAAGTCCGTGCATTCAGTTGACAGGGTAGGACATGACTGCCCACACTGCGCCTACGTCACGCAGGTATCCGCAGGACCTGTTCTCCGTGTACAGCGCCTGCAGGCAGTAGGGCGCCGAGCCGGGGGGCGGCGAGACGGGCGTCCAGAGACCCTCGTTGGACGAGTCCTTCAGGCAGTGCGCCCTGATGCGTCTACCTCTGCTGGTCGTCAGCTCAACGTTGTGGAGGACTGGGGAGGTAAGTAGGACATTAAAAAATATGGAATTTATAGTTTTCATGTTTGAATACATGTTTTATCAAAATTATACATTTTAAAGACGAATTAATGACAGAAGACAAATGTATTTATATTTTAAAGATTTCTACAAAAGTGAAAAAAACTTAAAATTGACCAATGGAAAATTGCTAAAAATGTATAGCACTTTAATATCTAAGGGGAGAATTTACGGCGTCAAAATTAATTGACCGAATCTACCAAATACAAATAGTTTAAGTTATTTTGGCAGAACGTTTAGAATAGAGGAAATTGAAAAAGACTGTGTATAGATAAACAGTATTAAACATACCTGCATTCCCCTGTAAGATGACCCCCGTGACGTGTTCACCGGATGCCAGTTTGGCTGCCGTCGTCTTAGCGGCGGTCTTGACTTCCGGCCGATGCGTCAACAGAACGTACCGCTTCTCGCCCGGTTTTTCCTTACCAACCGCTCTCTGCAGCGGAGGTTTGTCCGGAGTGTCTCGCGCCGTCTGACTGATGAGGTACTTCTTGAAGTCCGTGTTGCCACTGGTAGCCAGTCCCGTGGTAAGCTCAGGCGTACCGAGGCTGTATTCGTGTTTCCTCCCCTTGTGAGAGTACTGCAGAGTTATCTGAGTGATGTAGGGCACGCTGTTGTGTTGCTTGTACGTGAATAAGATTTTACGTAGCGTGTAGTCACTGTGGCAGACCCTTGCCGCATCCTCGTGAACGTAGCTTTTTAAAGAGAATCTGTCCGGAATATGAGGCGGGGTCTCCCAAATCGGACGGCGAAGATATTCTAGTCTGGTGGTGACGCCTGGGACGTTCGTCCAGTGGAATGTAATTTCATGCGGCGGTCGTTTGACTATGGTGGTCAAGCTCTGGCACCCGCAGTTTTCTTGGGACGGATGGAATCTGGGATCCACTACAGTGTACAGCATTTGTTTCGTCACGGCGTGGAGTAGAGAGTTCCCGTTCTTGTTGGCGTCGAGATATTTCGTGACCGCGCGCAGAACCTCTTTTTCCGAGTCGTGGTACGATAGAGGAAAACCTCGGGGTCCGAGAACTATAGACTTCTGGTTACCTAGCAACACGAGAATGATCTCTGGGGGAGACTGGAGAAAGTGTTTAGTGGTAGACACGTAGTGGAGGTGTTCAAATACAAAATCTCGGCAAGAATTGAACACATTTTGACGCCCCACTAAAGCAGACATGAGTAGCTCGCTGATGCAGTTATCGACTGTCAACCTCTCCACCATAAAGATATCACAAGCTTCCTGCTTTATCTTTCTTAAATCACCCAGACATTTCACACTCGGGCTGGATAAACTGGAAATTTCTTTGATGTAAAAACTGTTCAAATATTCTATCAGTCGTGTTAGATTTATCAGATCCTTCACGGATTTGAACGATGGGATTCTCTGAACTATGGCGTCTGCGCAACGTTTCAACAGGATGTAGTCCTTGCTGGATGGCGCTGGAACTTCTAGCTCGTCCTCACTACTCGAATCAAAGTGGCTGCTGGTGTCGCAGAGGGAGGACTGGAAACTTCGGCAAACTCCGGAATGTCGGCACAACTTCCGTTTAGATTTTTCGTAGCACCGGACGTCAAGTCGGGAATGTTCCAGAGGTCGTTGTCTGACGGGAGAGATGCCTGTGGGTAAGGGTGGGCCCGAGGGGTGGCGGTAGGAGCGTCGGGCGCCGGTCTTGTGGAGGGGGGAGCTACAGGATATTGGGGTTGGGGCGGTTACGAGAGGTGAGGGCGGTAACGGGGAGGTGGGGAATTTGTAGTCTTGAAATCTGGGAAGATGAATAGGTGAAGGGACATCAGGTACTTTTGAGTTCGTTTTTTCTTGGAGTTTATTCCTGTTTCCTAAATTAACTTGAGGTTTTGACATGGATGGAGCTTCACTAAATTTGACGTTTAATAACTGCTTCTTGGTGCTGTCATTTTCAATGTTTTGATGTCGAATCGTAGATGGTAACTGTTCACAAGTTTCAAATACATCATCTAGAGCCTTATCTTCATTCACGTTGACATCCAAGTTTGTAATGTGGTTAGCTGGCTCTAGTTTGTTATCACTGGTAGGTGAATGTGACTTTAGAACAAGATCTGGAGGGTCTGTTAGCGGCGGCGACGACTTCACACCATAGCTGTCGTAACCAGACTCTGTGCTGTATCTGTGTCTGGATGTCGTGATTAGCTCTTGTGATTCTGCATTAGCGCCTGGACAACTAGTCTCTACAGGGATGTCTACAGGTTTTGTTGAAGGAACTGACGTGTCCTCTACGAAGGCATCCACAAAAACGTCAGCAGAATCGCTTTCAGATACATGGCCGTCAGAAAACTGACCCAGATCATTGCCGTCTTCGTGAAGAGTTGGGAAGTTATTAACTTCAGACGTTTGTGTTCTGAAGCTAGTGTTGTACTTGAAGGTTTGGGCGTTCTTCACATCGGTGTAGTACATGCTCTCGTCGCAAAGAGCAACATCAAATGCGATGTTCAGACCCAGAGAATCTGATCGGGCTCCAGGCAACAAATCTTCAAAGGACACATCCGTCTGGGTCTCCTCGTTACAGGCGGGGATGTAGCTGCCAGAAATCACATCAGGCATAGAAAAATGCTTCTTTCTTGCACGCTTGGTGCTGGATCGAACATAGGAGTAACCCGGATGATTGGAATTGTCTGGAATTAATTGTCTTTTTGGTGTTTTAAAAGATGCATCATTTGTTCCAGAAACCAGAGAGGAAACTCCCATTCGGATCGTTTGATTTGGACTTCTTGTTGCTTCGGGGAATTGAAAGTCCCGATAATCTTCCAAGTAATCGTCCTCAAAGTAGCTTTCGTTGTAGTAGATGTTGAGGTCATCGTCCTGCACCATGACGAACTCATCATTGGAGAAGTAGGACCAGGACTTTGACAGCCCTTTACCAAGATTCGCCCCGGGTTCCGATGGGATGATCTGTCTCGGAATTATTTCTGTCCGGTTGACTTTATCCTTGGCTGCCGTCTGCTTCTTGTCTGAGAGATGGAAGAAGTTGAGCAGGGCGTGGAAGACTTCCGCTGCCTTGCCGCGCGGCTTCTGCTTGCCGTGAGCTGTGGGGACGGCGCCCTCCGAGCAGGGCCGCTTCATGGCTCGTTCAGCTAAAACCGCCGGATCGTTCATGTCCAAGCGGCCAAAGCCTATCGGCCGATTAAATATCGGCGGTTCTGAAACAAAATTAATAGTTAAAGAGCTAGAAAATTCAGTATGTTTAAGTAATGAATACATTTATTTAGATGTAGCTCCACTAGACTACTCGTTGTATACGGATGTTTGTCTTAATGACCTGTTTAGGATAGTAACTAAACAAAGCATGGCATGTTATAACCGTTAAAAGCAAACCTGCTACAAACAGTCGTGTAATCAAGTTTGTCGACGTCTGAAATAAAATTCATCTCAGGACCAGCATCGAAGAACACACTGTTACAATAAACATGCCGACCCGAAAAGGGTAAATAGAACAAGGCAAGATTCTTTTCCACTAAATTTAATACTGGCATTTTCAAAAAAGAATTGTGGAATTTCATTTTCTAAAAATTGGTGCATTCAGTTATTAATGCCTGTAGTAATGGTTTAATATCTAGTAAATATTAGGGTGAAGGCTATCGTGGGACTTTATACGGATGGTGTTAAAATTAACCTACAATACTTTAAAGAAGTTATTCTGTTAACTGGCACTGACCAGCCACAATTAAAAATGGAAGATCTTAAGTTAGTAGCAATGTGATACTAACATGTCTAGTGAAAGATGGCTAGGGGCTAGTAATTGATAAGACGTGCTTACATTGGCAAATAGTTTATACCAGGGGCGTAGCGAGGGGGGGGGGGCGGGGGTGCGGACCGCACCGGGTGACACCATTTAGGGGGGTGACACCAAGGCAAAAAATAGCAAAATATATAAAAGAAAAACTTGAGGGGGGGTGCAAACCGAAAGTTTGAGGGGGGTGCAAATCGAAAATTTGTCGCCGGGAAGGGTCACTACGCCTCTGGGGGGCGACACCATTAAGTGCCGCACCGGGTGACACCCGACCTCGCTACGCCACTGGCTAGGGGCTAGTAATTGATAAGACGTGTTTACATTGGCAAATAGTTTATACCACTAGCAACCCTAACACAAGAACAATTTATTATATTGGTATCATACAAACAATCATTAAAGAATATCTAGTAAATTAAGTATATACACATTCAAAACAAAGTAATATTTAAGGCATGTAAGAAAGTTCAGGTATATTTGTTATACCAGTGTCTGATAATGACACAATCTTAAGAAAGGAGTGCTATGTTACTGGTAGTTAACTGAATACCCATACATATTGCTAATGAGTGATAACCTTTCCTAAACCCTAAACCTAACACTACAATACGCCTAACCCTAACGATAAAAGTAAAGATTACAACACTAGCAACAACTTTACACACCTATTTTGATTTGCAAATGTCAATGCTAACCTTTTCTGAATCCTAACCCTAGACCTAGTACACAATACGCCTAATCCTAATATCTAACCATAAATCTAGACGAGATTACAATACAACTAACAATCTAACATCTCGATTCGATAGAATATTGGCAGATATCAGGATCCTCTATCATCTGAAATAAAAAAAAAACCTCACCCAATATATGTAAAACCCATAAATCGCTGAAAGAAACACCTCACCTGACATATTGACCAGCATTGTGTCACCTGGAGGCAACAAGACATGGCATGATTGCCTGGGTAACATGGAGCACGGGTCATCAAAGGTCAAGCTTGATTCGATCGTTGTGTCTTGCCTTGTGTAGTCTCGCATGAAGAGATCATAAGCCGAATGTTGCCCAACTCGCCAGTTTTATACGTGTCTCAAACAGCTGACCAGGGACTCGACCGTTTTTTTGACCAAATTAAAAAAATATTTGAAGCCAAATTTATGTATCTTGAACACTTTGGAATAACTTGGATTAGACAATACAATGGCTTATTGGGATAGTTTTAAATTTAACTTTTTCAGATAGTCAATTTTCCATATATTGTAATAAATTTTGTGTAAGTATTTTACACATCTTTAAATATGTATATCAATATTGTTGATAAAGAACCCTTTGAACCTAACAGTCTACGGGGAAGATGAAGTAGAGTTCAACTCTTTCAGTTACCTCAGCATATAACAAGAGTATAGAATATTTGTTGCCTTTTTCAGACAGGTTGTAGTTACCCATACATTAAAACACATTTAAAACAATATAATTCGACACCATTTATTTGCACAAATGCACTATATTTACTGGAATACTGATCAGAGCCATGTATAATGGTGAAAAAAAAAACGTGTACGTAATACTGCAAGAGAACGTATACATTAGATCCCGGCTCCAAATTTGTAACTACGTCATAGGCTAGTTTGGGGTCATCCACCAATGAAGTCACACTTTTTTTGACGATTTTTACTTAACCCCAGACCCCCCACCCTAAAATGACGCCACACTTCGGCCTACAACCCCCCCCCCTCAAATTGCAGTTGAATATTTCTTAAAACACCGATATTTTTTCCAAAATCTTGTCTGAACTATGTCAACATAAAGTATTTTAATCAATTTATATAGCAACTTATGGAAACAGTTTTCTAAATCGCGAAATAACTGCTAAAATACGTTTTCTAACATTGCTTTTTTATAATGAAAAAGTGTGACGTAACACCATCTGAACCCCCCCCCTCTTTCCTCATCACACAATGTCACAAAATAACGGACCCCCCTCCACCTACAAGTGTGACGTCATTTATGGACGAACCCTTATATTTCTATACTTCATAGCCTATTTAGAAATAAAACAGTTTCAAGAAAGTTGGCCAAACTATTTTTGTTGTGTACAACTGGCAACCGATAGAGCTAGGTTTTTTTTTGTAAACATTGGTGAATACATGAGTTTGTGTTCACTTCAGTTCTGTTGTGTGTTTCGTTCTAGCCCCATCCGCCCCCACCCCACTACAGGCATTTGATACTGAAGTAAAATTTAACTATAAGAATAGAAAAATAATGAAACGTGAACAGTGAATGGTGTGTATTGGGAGGGGTGGGGATGAGAGCTGTGTAGCTTGTTAATAAACACAGCATACAATACTTGGTTAGCAATATCAAGTTATTGCGTCGCTATCAGTGTTTCTTCCAGACTTTTTTCTCCGGGGGGGGGGGGGGGGCACTTGAAATCTTCGGGGGGGGGGGGCGGTAAACTTTCTTCGGGGGGGGGGGCGGACACTGTTAAAAGTATATATTTTCTATATAAATAATATAAATTTCATTTCGTTCGGGGGGGGGGGGGGGGGCGGTAAAAAATTTTCGGGGGGGGGGGGGGCTTAGACCCCCCCGAAGAGATGCCTGGAAGAAACTCTGGTCGCTGTTATCATAATTCTTTGTCACCTCTAAACATAACTCTAACACAGACTTTAAACCATGGTCCTTGTTGATAGATTTGCTTTATGTAGCGATACCCGGTATTTCGAGTTTTAGGGTCGGGTAACAGAAAAGAGAGCTGTACGGATATATTGATATTTCGGAACATTAAATTGTATTTACAATTCCACAATCCACTCCACAATCAACAGCCACAATCCACCCTACACTCAACCCTACAATCCACCCACACGTGGGCACCACTATCCACCTCCCAATCCACCCCCGAATTCAACCTAGACAATTCGCCCCCCCCCCCCCTCCTTCCTAGTCCAACCCCCAACATCAGCCCATAAACTCCACCCTCACAATCTCCTCTAACTTTCCGCCACACCCCCCCCCAACTCTCCTCTCCCAAAACTGTACCCCCCCCAGCTGTTACCAGCAGGGTTCAAGGATCACATTCGCAGTCCTCGTGCAGGTTATTTTTTATACTCGGCTGATCTCACAGGGGGTGATGTGGTGATCAAGGTCATAAGAAGCTTGTGTCACGCTTGGTCGAGCACACTGTTAGGTACTAACAGCCGTATAAAACCAGTGAAGCGTGACTGTTTTGTGTGTCTGTGTACACGGGTGTACGTATGTGTTTGTGTACCCCGTACCGCTGTTTCGTGCTAATTGCTTTATACAGCCAACCGTTCACATATAATAAAACATACCCTTTTTTAAAATTCGCAACGTACTTTATAGTTTTAACTCAATAAATTTTGCCGTAGATTTACTTTAACCATTTATAAATCGTGCACATACAATAAAAGAGATACTATATGTTTTTTTATTCCTTTGGTACTTAATAGTTTTAATCATTATCGTTTGCTAATTCACACTTTAATCGTTAAAGACTTGAACATTTTGATTTATAATACTTCAACTCACGACATATAGATCCTACTAAAACATTGTTTTGAATAATATATTATATACTTGCATTTACTACACATTGTATATTACACTAAAACACTGATTTGATTTACATTTTTAATTTAATTTTTTTTTCCAGACGGTTCAGTAAAGTAAATTTTTATTTGACTGAAGACTTGTAGTTGCTACTTATGAATAATACACCAAAACTTTGATTGAAGACTTGTATTTGCTTCTCATGGTGTAATACCAGGGGCTGATTGACCTTTGTCTAAGCGGCCAAAGACAACAAAACAGCGACCAGTCTGACTTACATTTTCATTGTGCGTTGTTTTAATAACCCAAGCACGTGTCACTATTCAGCAAGAGTTTCTTCTAGGCATCTCTTCGGGGGGGGGGGGGGGGGGGGGGGGGGGAAGCCCCTCCAAAGAAAGTCTTCCCCATCGAAAGGAAATTCAATTTATATAAAAAATATATACCCTTAAGTGCCCGCCCTCCTCCCCGCGGAAATTTCAGTCCCCCCCAGCTCAATTAAAACACCGCGTTCTATGACATCAGCAAACACCAGAGGCGTAGCGACCCTTCCCGGCGCCCGGGGACATACTTTCAATTTGGCGCCCCCTTGGGAGCAAATTTTCGATTTGCACCCCCCCCCCCCTCGAACTTTTCATTTGCACCCCCCCCCTCAAACTTTCAATTTGGCGCCCCCCCCTAAGGTCGGCGCCCGGGGACATATGTCCCCCCCCCCGCCCGCCCCCCCCCGCTACGCTACTGGCAAACACATTTTTAAGTTTCAGACAATGAGCTTCGTAAACAATTCTTTATATGCGTTTCAGTTCAGAGAATTTTGTCACCCAATCGTCTTGATAGAATCCAGAACCTCGACTGTAGACATACGTGACTAGCCGTGTACCAGCATGGCGTTCGAGTAGTCTACTGTGTACACACTCAGTCCGATTCAATTTACAAATATTTATTTACTAGTAGGTTCATTAAAGGCGTAATCAGGTTTTTAAAAATCATAACTTTGTTAAATAAATGAATTTAGATTTTTTTAAATTGACTAAAATATTTCATCCTTATCAACCAGTTACGCAGAACATGATTAACAGTGTTTCTTCCAGACTTTATATTCTTCGGGGGGGGCGGACTAAAATTTTCCGGGAAGGGGGGGTTGACACTGCTAAAAGTATATATTTTTTATCAAATCAATTTCGTCTTGCTGCCCCCCCCCCCCCCCCCCCCGAAGAGATATCTGGAGGAAATTCGATGATAAATATTTGTGATAAAAAAACGAATGTATAGCAGCCAAAGCGAAAGTAGGTAACAGAGGCAGTATAAGTTTTCACTAAATAAATATATTTTTAAAATATCGAAGCACCATCATATTAGGCCTATTCAATCACCGTACTCGGCGGATCATAGGACTTTTTTCTTGTGTTTTGGCGACAAGTTCCACCCTTGCATAATACACACAGCATTGACTTGACAGTGAGCTTGTATTTTGAGCTCATCTTGTAGTACACCAGCACGTTGACGCTGGAGCTCAGGGTTTCTGTGAAAAACGACAGCTCAGACAACATGAGCGTCACGTCGAAGTACTCACGGTACACAGACAAGCTGGGTACAAAACTAACGGCTAACAGGGTCGCTGAAGTTGATGCCAGAAAACTAACGGCTAACAGGGTCGCTGAAGTTGGTGCCAGAAAACTAACAGCTAACAGGGTCGCTGAAGTTGGTGCCAGAAAACTAACGGCTAACAGGGTCGCTGAAGTTGGTGCCAGACAACTAACGGCTAACAGGGTCGCTGAAGTTGGTGCCAGAAAACTAACAGCTAACAGGGTCGCTGAAGTTGGTGCCAGAAAACTAACGGCTAACAGGGTCGCTGAAGTTGGTGCCAGACAACTAACGGCTAACAGGGTCGCTGAAGTTGGTGCCAGAAAACTAACGGCTAACAGGGTCGCTGAAGTTGGTACCAGAAAGCTAACGGCTAACAGGGTCGCTGAAGTTGGTGCCAGACAACTAACGGCTAACAGGGTCGCTGAAGTTGGTGCCAGACTACTAACGGCTAACAGGGTCGCTGAAGTTGGTGCCAGAAAACTAACGGCTAACAGGGTCGCTGAAGTTGGTGCCAGACAACTAACAGGGTAGCTGAAGTTGGTGCCAGACAAACCATGAACACCACAGACACAACCACCAGCATCACCACCACTTTTATCTCTTTCGTCGATAAGTTCTGGTTAGAGGTTATCGATTTCCTTTTGTGACTGATTCGTTGTAGTTGTATACCAGTGATGACAGGGCAGATGATGATGATGGCGAAGGTAGATAATGGTATCAGCTGGTCTGTGAATATAAACGATATATGACTGACGTCAGTAGGCTTGACATGTTCGTTGCGGGGTCAGTTATCCAACTCAGGTAGAAAATAAAGTACCTTGGGGACATAACAGGTAACATAACGAGGTACACCCCAACATTAAACACAAACGCGACTTTACACGTTATAATTTGTTTGACTTTTAGCGGTACCAAAACACACACACATCTTTCAAAAGCAACGAACGCTGTTATACACCCACACACCCGCATAAAATAGGTGTGTGGGTTTAATCCGAGTAGAGATACTAGGTCAAATTCTACTATAGGCAAACCTGTTAACTTCAGTACCTTTATGCAACTAACAATAACATAGGATATCAAAGCTCCAATGTCTGTGATAGCTTCCAGACTTTTTTCTCCGGGGGGGGGGGGGGGGGGGGGGCACTTGAAATTTTCGGGGGGGGGGGGGGGGCGGTAGACTTTCTTCGGGGGGGGCGGACACTGTTAAAAGTATATATTTTCTATAGAAATTATATAAATTTCATTTCATTCGGAAGAAACTCTGATTGTATAGATGACACACCAACGTTTCAAAAAGGAACAACGCAAAGTTTAATCGACCTCTGCTTAACTACGTCTATTTCCTGCGATAAATATAACAACAACTAGTCACTTATTTACTGATACCTTATTTTACGGATGTGCTTAAATCAAATTTATTTAATTGTAGGGCCTGCTATAATGTTGTAATTTATGAATTTTATCTTGATTAAATTTAATGTTTATTTTCTTTTTTTTTAAAGTAAGAAAGTAAATATTTTTCAGTTAAAATATGACGTTTCTGTCTTTTTACTTAAGTTAGTGTGATCACATTAAGTTAATTCCCAAGCTAAAGATTGTGTAGATGCCGCAGTAAGAAATTTAACCTTACGTTGAGAGTTGCGAAAATCTCGATTTCGATTTATTTTGCACTATTACAATACTTATTCTATATTTCATATACGAGATGTAAAAAAAAAAATAATAAAAAAAACATTTCTATATCCCGATTGAACTGAAAGTACCTTCCTCGTTAGTGATGTATAAGTATATACGAGAGAATTTAGGGGGTATCACTCACGCTTTATTTAAAGCAAGAAAGTAAATATTTTCAGTAAAAATATCAAGTTTTGTCTTTGAAGTTGCGTTACAGTGTTCACATCAAGCAAACTCCTAAGCTAAAGATTATGTAGTTACCGCAGTAAGAAATTTAATCTTACTTTTTTTGAAGCGATTGTTCAGCGCTCTATAATTCGTACGTGCTGTGTATTTTTGATATACCAACAATTCGATGGATTGAGTGGTTTCCCCTGATACGGTGCAGTGGGCTAGATGTTGCCAGTAGAGATACTTTATGGCAATAGAAAACCAGCTATTTGTTTCACACTGTGAACATTGTTATTACATTTTACCAAGGCATATTTCACTATAAAAAGTTACTAAAACAATATCTGATGCACATTTCTAAAGCAGTAATATATATTCACATTCTATTGCATTCAGTTTAAAGATACATAAGCTGTTTTACAAAAAAAAAAAATATTTTTTATATATTTACCAATATTTTTTTTTTTTTTTTTTTTTTTAATTTTAATATATTATTTTAACAAATTTTCAAAAACAATTTTTTATAACGTAATGTGCTAAGTGCCGTTTGTTTTAATATTTGAATTTTAAAAGTTTGTTACGGTATAGATGTTTGTATGCTTGTTTTATTTGTTATTTTCTTTAGCAATTAGTAATTCGAAAAAAAATATAGTCGCAAGTGGATATTAAAGATTTTAAAAACACTCAGTGACAATTTATTCTTTGATTCTGGTATGTCCACCAACTGAGCTAAATATAGTAACTTAGCTTTTAATGACAATTACCTCCCATTTATGTATTTCTGCTGTTTGTTCTAAAAAGGTGAACTAGTTTATCACGACGGTGACAAGTATTGCTTTTTAATGAATATTTTGCTATAGGGTATCTCCCCTTATCTCGTTTGGTGTATCATGTGTGTAGCTACAACTGCCCTATTTTACATCAAGCATTTTTTTTCGCTGTGGTGTCACCCTCTATGGTCGTCTGGTTCGGTTCCCGACTCCTGTACCCTCCTTGTGACGCCTCTGTCCAACCTGCTTATTGTTTAAAGTGTATCATCATCTTTCCCCGTACTTGAAAAACACATACAGCAGATGAAGTAGAGTTCATCTGTTTCAACGACCTTGACATATGAAGGGATGGTATTGTCAGCACTTTGCCCAGCCAGACATATGACTGTCCATTGGGGCAAGTGAAATATAATTCAACTGTTTCTGTAGCCTCGGCGGTTTGGATAGTTTGGTCAGCACTATGTCTAGCCGTCTTTGTTTCCATAACGTGAGTTAGGTACCCATCAGAGCTGAGTAGACTCAGTGACGTCAAACCCGTGATTCGAACTCGAGACTTTATGTTTAGCAGTCGTAAGATCTAGCATTCACCCACGTCTTTCCATTTAAAGTACATGCTAGATAGTTTTTCGTTTTTTTTTTACAAACTTTATTTCAATAGTAAACCATTCACATAGTAAAACACATTTAATTAATTAATTAACAAATAAATATACAAAAGCTCTTGAGGGTGAGCACTGCCTACAGACACGTGTTGATCCTGGCCTGGTTTTGTTGCACCCAAGTGTCGAACGTTCGAACCTCGGGGCTCATCTGTTTCGTCACGGAGAGGTTGTACTTCTGGTCGACCCGCTGGAAAAACTGGAACATGTTTGCCCAATCAGCGCTGCCCTTTAGGTCACCTGACCTTTTGGTTTGAAAATCGTAGGCCGTTATCTGTTTTGATTTAATTAAAAAAAGGTTTAATTAATTAATTCACCTGTTGAATTTTTTATTTGGTGTGATCGTGTCAGTAATAATAGGCTACAGTAAATTTTTATTTCGTATATATATATATTTTCTGATTACCACTATTCTGATTTTATCAGTTTTTGAAATGATTTGAATGATTTAAACCTGACTTATCAGATATTAGCTAATGCCTTTATTGATGTTTTAGAAATAATATTGTGTACATTTCGTTATAGGCTATACACATTCAATATCGTTAAGGGGGAAGGCTCCGGTTTAAAAAAAAAACTTTTTTTAATACTCGTTAGAAAACAGTTATTTCTTTACAGCTTTATTAAGATACATCCGCATATGCATTTCCACTAAAAAATTTGATGGAAAAATCTTGGTAACTATGACAATGGCGGCCATCTTGAAAAATTAACCCCTTCGTAGATTTTCCACCATTCATAAAATATTACATTTTAAGCCCAATAAACAATCAATTCATAATCTTCTTCCATATTTTGGGGCAATCAGCTAAAAATTTTAAGTGCATATCTTCAAACTAATTTTGTATGAATTTTCAAAATTTGTGTCCGTTCAAAACACTTAACTTTGGGGAATTTTAGGGCATTAAAACTAGTGTTTTGAACGGACACAAATTTTGAAAATTCATAAAAAATTAGCGGATGTATCTTAATAAAGCTGTAAAGAAATAACTGTTTTCTAACGAGTATTAAAACAGTTTTTTTTTTACCGGAGCCTTCTCCCTTAAAGTGTAATGTTTTCCCCGCTAAGGTATTTTATTGATTGTTACTTTTCTTGGTACTCTTCTATTTCAATATCTTTTTTTTGTGTGTGAGCTTCAGACATGTAATTTACAGCGTCAGTTGTGTGTGTTCGCTTTAGTATTACAGTTTTCATCACCGGCTTGTGAGGACTGATACAGATTTACAATAGTAATATTTCTTTCTTACTTGTAGATTACTTTCATTCATTTAAGATGGTTAACTTATACATAGATCTAATACAAAACGTCTAAATATAAAAATAATTAAAACATTTAAAAAAAAACAACATTTCAATATCAACTGATAATTTAACTTAATTGTACGCGCAAATTTCTAATTAACTCAATTTGATCAATTCCAAAATTTAATTATGCCGATATGACAGATTCTTTTTTTTTATTTCTAACATTAGCTTGTCTTTTCATGTCTCGCTCTCTTTTTAGACAGTGCGACATAACCCTTTCAGCTTCATTGCATGCCCCTAAAAACTTTTTCAGTGGATGATCAGTGTGGCATTTGTGTAAAGCTTCAATGAGAACATTACATTCCGCTGTATTTAGATGAGGCGACAAATCTGGATGCATCACAAATCTCGACGCAGATTTCTAATTAACTCAAATCAAAAGTCTAACTATATTGGAGTAACTAATTGGCTATCCGGCTTCAATAAAAATCTGCTAAAGGTAGATTATAGTTTTGGCTATTACCATTTTCTAGATCAATAAAGAAAATAGTTTATCAATTTCCTTTACGTTTTGATTCCCGTCATGGATTAATAAGTGCAATATTTCTTCAGTTTAAAAACAATTGGTTATCCCCCTTTCTACATCATTTAAGGACAATTGTATTAGTGGAAAATATTGTATTGATTATTCCCCTTTCTTGATCAATAAAGAACATATACCAAGGTAATATATTAAACTAGTGCTTTCTTATTCTAGATCGATGAAGGAAATATTTTACCATGAGTACAGCGCCCCACCCCGTCTTCTATACACCAGGGGAAATAGATCACCCCTCCTTCCCTAATACCCACCCCCCTGAAAAATTGACACTAAGGTAAATAAGCCACCCCCCCTCCAAATCGACACCAGGGTAAATAAATCACCTCTCCCCATCTTCAACAGCAGGGGGGGGGGGCGGGGGGAGCACCACCCCACCACACCCCGTCCAGCAGCTCCCCCCCCATCCCGTCCACTAGCTTCCCCCACACAGTCCATCAGCTTAACCCCCCCCCCCACCAACGGACCTGCTGGGTCTTTAAAGAGTCTGGGCTTCAGGTACTTGCCCAGCACCAGCTCCCCCACCCCATCCCCCCCACCCCACCAACTGACCTGCTTGTCTTTAAAGAGTCTGGGCTTCAGGTACTTGCCCAGCACCTGCGCCATCTCGCGGACGGTGATCTTGTCGCCGCACACGCTGACCGTCTTGGACAGGTACTGGTTCCGGTGCCGCAGCACTGTCAACACGATGGGGCCGACGTCCTCCACGCTCATCATGTCCAGGGGCGTCGTCCCCATGGGGATCTCTGCAGGACAGTAACATGGGGGGGGGGGGTGTGGTTTGATAGTATTTGGTAAAAATAATTCGATCTGAAAGCGTGACCTGTGTGCAGTGTTTCTTCCAGACATTTTTCTCCGGGAGGGGGGGGGGGCATTTGAAATCTTTGGGGGATGGGGCGGAATCTCCTCCGGGTGGGGGGGGGGGAGTCAACCAACCCCCCCCCCCCCTCTCCCCCGGAAGAGATGCCTGGAGGAAACACTGCCGGTGTGTAGTTCGGATCCCAGTTCTGGTACGCAAATGAGGTGTGTGAAAGTAAAAGCGACGAAGTTTTGCTATGCCTGGATCTACGACAAATCTTCAAAAAGACATTTGCCCGGTGACTGTTTTCCCAAATCAAGAACAAATAACATTAGCAGAAGTTGTTAGATTTTGGAGTTGTCTCTCTTAGATTGAGTTGCTGTCCCCATCTATCGAGCCTCATTTGCCGGAGTGTTCGAACTCTGGACTGTTGGCGTTTACCATGCCATTCTAACCTTTACTTTAGTGCTTAGAAACATTAATTGATTATGCACATGACTAATAAAAATCGGAACTTATTTTTACTTACCATTCAAACCCTTTAAAACAAAAAAATATTTATAGAGCAACATCCCTAGATTATGTAACAACCCTCCCCTACCCCAACACCCATAGAACAAGGAACCACTAAAAGTTGGTTAGGAACAGAGGCGTAGCGAGGGGGGGGGGGCGGGGGTGCGGACCGCACCGGGTGACACCATTTAGGGGGTGACACCAAGGCAAAAAATATCAAAATATATAGAGAAAAACTTGAGGGGGGATGCAAATCGAAAGTTCGAGGGGGGGGGGGTGCAAATCGAAAATTTGAAAGTTTGTCCCCGGGAAGGGTCGTTACGCCTCTTGGGGGTGACACCATTAAGTGCCGCACCGGGTGACACCCGACCTCGCTACGCCACTGGTTAGGAAAACATAAGTTTATTACAGTGTGAGTACTCACGGATATCATACGTCTTGCCGTCTGCCGTCTGTGGTTTAAAAATATCCAGGATGTCCTCGTAGTACACGGGCATGATGAGGCAGGTCAAGGGCAGGTCAATGTCACGCATGTACTGCTCCACTTCCGCTTTGGCCACAAGATGGCGGGCCATGAGGGAACAGATTTTGTTGGAGTGGAGCTGTGAGCTGAAGATGACGTGCTGTACGTTGGCCTGAGGGGTGAGGGCGGTGGGGGGTGTTAGTACGAGGGTTTCTTTTAGACATTTGTTTTCCAGAAGAGTGACAGATTATCATGGGGAGAAGGTGGGGGGGGGGGTGTTAGTACGAGGATTTCTTTCAGACATTTGTTTTTTAGAAGAGCGACATGGGGTGGTGGTGGTGTGGGGGGGGGGTGTTCTTTCAGACAATTGTTTTCTCATAAGAATATCACTTAGGAAGTCTTGAGAACGTCTCTGAGAGAAGTAAAATATATTTGCAAGACATAGTGCTGACCACACTTCCCTTTCGTATGTGGAGGTAACAGAAACGGGTAAACACTACTTTACCTACTTCATCGAGCATCTGGCCTAAACGAGCATTTCACAATGTTCGATGAAATAGTTAAAAAAACAAGGGTCATTCTTCACAAATGTTTCAGAAAATGGTAAACTCTACTTCACCTGCTCTATAGACCTTCTGGTCTAAACGAGCTTTACACAATTTTCGATGCAGTAGTTAGATAAACACGGATCATTCTTCACAAAATGTTTCAACATCTTTCTTAATCTTTGTTTTGTCACCCACGTTTTCTCACAAAACATCTTTTTGTTTGACATCCAATAACACAAGTTATGCATGCAATAAAATTAGCATATCTGAGGTGAAGGTTGTGTAACGTGACATTGACGTCAACCGACTCACCGATTTACAGTAGTCTGCTATCAGACAACCATGTGCGATTTCTGTATCCAGACAATTGACGTCATCAAAATCTGTGTACGTGTTGACAAAACATGCGAAGGCGTTGTTTAATATCCTCTCCAGTCCCTTACTGAAATGAAGTTTGAAAAATATAAAATTGAAAACATAATTGATTTTGCGTCAGAAAAAGAACAAACCCTAGAAAATCAAAACTAAACATGCAGGGTTAAGCCAGATCAAAATGTATTTATTTCTTTATGGACTAAGGTTGTTTGAATGTAATATATCCTAGTCGCCCAGTGTTTCTTCAAGACTTTTTTCTCCGGGGGGGGGGGGGGGCACTTGAAATTTTCGGGGAGGGGGGTGGTAGACTTTCTTCGGGGGGGGGGGGGCAGACACTGTTAAAAGTATATATTTTCTATATAAATTATATACTTTTCATTTCGTCCCGGGGGGGGGGGGGGGGGCGGTAGAATTTTCCCCCGAAGAGATGCATGGAAGAAACTCTGCAGTCGCCTTTACGCTTGCCCAACTGATTCAGCTAGTCCATGAATCACTAAAGTCTAGACATTCGAAACAAAAATAGTGCATTCAATGTGTTAGAACTAACGTCTTTTATATTACTGGGCAGTACATAGCCTCGCGTTTAGTGTCTGTGTGGTATAAATTACCCTTTAATAACCAGCACGCTCAAATCTATGTTAGTTACCGTTCTTGGCTGTAATTAATATCTAATGATAAACCATCATACAACCCAAAAGTCTCGAGTTCAAGTCTCGGGTTCAAGTACATTGAATGTCCCTGAGTCCACCCAGCTTAGACGGGTACCTAGCTCACTTTAGTGGAAGTAAAGACTGCTGACCAAACTATATTCGAGGTCACAGAAACAGGTGAACTCTTCTTCACTTGCCCCATGGACCGTCAGGTTCAAAAGGGAAATTAACTTATAAACCATCATATGCATCATGTTTATTTACCTTTCTGTGGGGTCAAAGGTGACAAGTTCAACCCCAGCTTCCCGCAGCTCCTGAACTCTCGCACCGCTCTCGTCTCGCGTGACTCCACGGACACTGAACTCACCACTCCTAGCTAGTGCTCTAGCCACTGAGCCACCCTGCTTGCCTGTGGCACCAAACACGACGACAAGTGGTTTGCTCATTAGGGCGGTTATTTTTTCTCAGACTTTTTGAAAAATTCTTGGCCAAAATACTTCAGTTGTTAATAGGCTGGAAGAAGAGATTCTGGAACTTGACCGTGCGTTCGGTTTTTACAGGAACTGTTGCGGAATACGAAAAAAAGTTTTTATACTTAAAATACAATGGTTGACGAAGTCACTTTTAAATTTCAAATAATCTGAAAATACAACCGAATCGATATTAGTGTTAAATTTTAAAGAATTTTAATGAAAGGATTCTCTTCTATATGGATTATGTGTGTCATATGGCTGGAGATAAGAATTTTAGAAACGTGACTAGCCATTGGATATCTAAATGACTTCAAATTGGTACTTGAAAACTCTGAAGAAGGGGAGATAGGACAATGGTTAAAGTCGACATTTCCTATCTATATTAGGGAGATAGGACAATGGTTAAAGTCGACATTTCCTATCTATATTAGGGAGATAGGACAATGGTTAAAGTCGACATTTCCTATCTATATTAGGGAGATAGGACAATGGTTAAAGTCGACATTTCCTATCTATATTAGGGAGATAGGACAATGGTTAAAGTCGACATTTCCTATCTATATTAGGGAGATAGGACAATGGTTAAAGTTGACATTTCCTATCTATATTACCTCCTTTGTTTTAATTTCGTACAGAGAAGGGAGATGGGACTAGTCAGGAAGGTGTGCAGTGCGACCTCCCCCCCCCCCCCCACTTCCGCTCCACTGAAAGAAACACTGGTGGAAAAACTGACTACTAAATGACGCACTAACATGATTGGCCGTGTCTTTTATAAATGGGCCATAGGCATCCGTAATTAGTTCAGGTGCGATAAAGATTACATACAACTCTTGTTCATTTAACGAGAGACGAGTTTTAATTCAAGTACAGTCAATGAACATGAAAACAGTATTCCATATTTAAAACCAAATAGTGAACTGACATAAAAATAACACATCTATACATAACAATTATGTCTAGGTACACGTACTGTACACTCAATTAACGGCGAATTCAACTTAATTAAGAAAGTTATCGATACAAATGAAACGTGAATAATTAAATAACTGAACTAACAATAAACTGTGCACTGTGTGAATTTAAATAAATAACATAGATCATGGACTCTGCCGGTGAATTCCCCTGAGAAATCCAATACTGCACAAACTTATAAACCATAAATAACAATTAGACTTACACACAAAGAACCTTACCACGGTGCTCCTACAAAAATCCACCCTGCACTTACTTATAAAGCATAAATACCCTAACACAAATAACATAACCTACCACGGTGCTCCTAAAAATCCATCCCTACACTTACTTTTAAAGCATAAATATACTTACACAAAATAAAATAACTTACCACGGTGCTTCTAACAAATCCACACCTACACTTACTTAAAAAGCACATATAAAAATTACATTTACACACATCAGGTAACCTGCCACAGTGCTATTTAACAAATCTTATAATTAACAAACCTCCACACGAACGTGCTTTGATTAGCACGCCTCAGTACACCTTGGCCGCCTTACAGGAATATAATAGAAATAAAGCGGGGATAAATACACAGGGGACAAGTGGTAAAGGCGTTTACCTTTTGACACAGAAATCTGGCCAATTGATCGGTAGTTGACAGAATGAACTTGAGTCTATAACTTGCCGGGTTGTGGTTGCAGTAGTGGTTGTACGTTAGGGTTGTTGGCTATTATGTTTTATAAAACGGACTGTGTTTGGTTCTTGAGGTATTGGGGAGTAGGGTGTAAATGCTTTAAAATTTAACATGGAGTCACGCGTGTTCTTTCATTATGGCTAGCTTGGGGGTCCTTAGACAATTAATTGAAGGTTTGGGTTAGTTAGTTAGTGGTAGAGATTACAGGGAGATGGTTGGTGCTTTGGTTTCAGTAGGTAGAGTTGTTAAAATAGAACTGTTTAGGGTGAGGGTGTGTGTTTAAAATTTAAAAACGTGTGTGATCGTTTGGGTGGAGTGTGGTTGTATCTTTTGGGTGTTGACATATGCGTGTATGCGTGTATGTGTTTTACCGATGCGTGTTTCTGTGTGTTAGAATGTGTGAGATTACTTAAATGTTTGATTTGTTTTTTATAGTACGCTCTTAAAGTAGCGTTACTGTTTGTATACACCACTCAAGACTGCGATACAAACATACAAACATACAAACATACACTATAAACAACTTATCTTCAGTGGCTAAATATGTTTAGCCACTTTTGGCTAAACATATTTAGCCACTTTGATACACGCATGTTAAATCAGGTCCTTCTTCTGGAACAACGGTTATCAAAAAATCAATATCAGATATCAAATGTTAACCGCACTGACGGATATAATCGATTGAAACTATCGATTTTTCATAAGTTGATTTCTTAACCTTCTCAATGCAAATAATGTTTACATTAATGCGGTGTTCTAATGGCAGAGATTTATCGTGGCGTTATAATTAATTAAACAATTTAATCTTACAATTACTTGTTTTATATTATAGCCTATATATATATATATATATATATATATATATATATATATATATATATATATATATATATATATATATATATATATATATATATATAGGCCTATATTGTATTTATGATCTGTTAAAAAACTACAACTAATGAAAAATCTTTCTTTTCTTTTATATAACACGATGCGTTGTTTTAAACAAGTTATGAATGAATAATTTTCACAAAACTCTTTTCTATACTTACTTAATGTTTTTCTCAATATATGTGTTGGTTTTTTATTGAAGGCAATTTAGACAGATCTATACCATCCTTTAAAAGAAAAAAAATACATTAAAGTATCCACACAACCACACAACCACACAAGCTCCCAACATATAGACCGAAGTCTGGAACGCCCAGTGGGGGTCTGGATACGCTTCCGGTCTGAATAGATGATGACGTCAGCGAAGCAGTAAAAACATGTCTTTTGGTTACGCATTAACGTCAAGCGGGTAGACTAAGATTTACATGAATCGATTCGTCAAAAGGCAGGGGGTTATGGAGCCTATAAATAGCTTCTAACAGAGTTCTTTAGTAGCAGTGTTGAAAATATACACAGTCTTTTTATGGGCAACCGTATATAGTTGCCGTTGTTATTTAATTTAATACATTTTATTTACACTTTCGGAAATTATAAATTTTCTGAATTAATACTCTAAACGAATTTGTGCTTTACATTTTCCAAAAGGAAGTTTTATATCTTACTTTTAAAATATATTAACTACATTATTAAATTTATTAGTTATCATTTATTTACAATCAATAGAGATTAAAAAGTTAATTTGACATCCTATTAAAAAAACAACAACATCGAAGCAAAAATATCAGTACAATTTTCTCCCTATTATTCACAGGTAAAAGATGACTCACACGTGTACAAACTTAATATAATAATTATCGCAAATAAAGAGTCCTGTTCGCTTTTAAAAATCTTCATAACGATGGTTATAAAAAAGTTTTTACACTGTTTTTTAAAAGAGTTTTTGTTCTCACAGAATTGTTTACATTTAACTTTTTAACTCCCCCCCCCCCCCCCCCAATATATTTAACTTATCAAAGCCCATACTTCACGCTTATAAGACAAACGTTTCATTCTTTATTTCACGTCTTTCACACTTCATCCATTGTTTAGTCCAGATGTTTGACAGGTCCCATCATTGATGCGTACATCATTCATACGCTGTTTGGGCGTACACCTGGTCGGACAGAAACGAACTAGCTTGATTACATAACACACCTGAATTCCGACATTCTGATATGTACATCATGCACATAGTGTTTGGACATACATCTGATCTGACAGAAACTAACTGCTTGATTACATAACACATATGTATTCCGACATTCTGATGTGTACATCATGCACATAGTGTTTGGTCATACATCTGATCTGACATAAACTAACTGCATAATTACATAACACTTCTGTATTCCGACAACCACATACAAAACCAACCTATCGAGTATTATATTATTTTAGGCACTATTTAGAAAACAATTGACGACTTCTATGGCACTAAAATTAAAAAAAAAGCTTTTTTTTTCTTATTTAAAGTATAGCAATTTATCGACAATATTTGTAGCCACTTTTTAGACAACAATTTATATTACGTTTTTACAGCTTTAGAATAACAGGGACGTTAACTCTAAGTCACAAGTCACCTTTTATTCCTGGCCATATGCCCAGATTAATAAATTCCAATGGGATTAGCGGTAAACAAGATTGTATTACACCGGGGTAAGGAAGGAAATCGATAACGGATCCCTAGTTCCGGTACCGATTTGATTGATTTTGTGAAATAAAAAAAAGATGAAAGCCGTTGAACAACAGAGATCAATACAAGCAAGTCCCTGGTTAGAGCGACCTTAAAATGACCTTGTCTGATATTAGGTGTGGGACTGTCTTTACAATATCTAACCAGGTAGTTCTTAAGAAGTGAGTTGTTTCCCTTCCATGCAAGAAAGTTTATCAGTTGCATGAAGACTTCGAGGTAAAACACTGTAGGAAATTTATTTAAGTTTTTTTTAGCGCAATTTCCATTCTGGAGAATTGCGTTTATTAACTCGTCATTTCTGGGAATGGATGGATGGATGTGTGTCAGCAGCTTTAAGTCGTCTTTAAGTCGTATCTCCTCCTCGACGAAGCAATATCGAGGACTAGTTCCAAAAGCAAATATGTTAAGCAAGTTTGGAGGATGAACATAGGCCTAAAAAATTCCCGGGTTTCCTTCCTGGATTTCCCGGAAAAGCCAAAAAAACCTCGAAAAAAATTCAGTTTTTGGCCCATATCTCGGCAACCAGACCACTTAGCGACTTGAAACATTTACCAATCGATTCCTGCCATAATGTAGAACAATATTGCCGAAGAAAGGTTTCAAAAATATCCTTTCGTTCGGTCACAAATTTTTTTTTAAAAGCGCGACAACTAAACACCCCCTACACGTCCGCATTATTTAAAATTACATTATACATAATACATTACAGTACTATATAGCAAAGAAGGCAGTGGAAGGCGAAAGAAAGGAGGGTAAATCATGTGACCTGGCTGGCTTAGCAGCGAATTGCGCGAGACGCAGGCGAAGGAGGAGGAGCTATGATCTATCTCGATTTAAAATTGTTACGGATAACATAAGGAAATAGCGCTTAAATTGTCACTAGACTTTTTATTAACTTGTTTTTACAGTGCCCTTTAATACCAATACAGATTTGTAACGCAGGCCTATAAAAATCGTATAAAAAATAAATGTGTATCCTGACTATTTGCCTAGCCCTACGTGTTGTCGTACTCAATTAAAACAAATATGTGTTGAACTTTACTACTTGAGTCTACTTATAAGGCCTGCTATTATTATTATAATTATGTATGTCTACATTTAACTAGTGACTCCGATAAGATACTTTATAAGTTAATTATATATCTGTGGTTAAGCATTCGCTATCTTGAGTTAAGGGTGAGCTCAGGACATAAGGTAACTTTCGTATGTGTTATAATGTGTATTTAAACAGGGTATGTTGGTGCGAATGAATGTTATAACGAACGCAGAGGCGTAACAATGGGGGGGGGATGCGGACCGCACCGTGGGACACCATTTAAGGGGTGACAAAAAATTGCAAAATGCACAGGAAAAAAAATGCTTTTTTGCCAGTTCCGTTAGTGATTAATCAAAGCTAAATAGTGTTTTAAGTACAAATCGACAAGTATTACAAGAGGATGTGGGGGGGGGGGGGGGGTGTAACCCCATGACGTAAAAGTGTTAACTATAGAGAAAATGCTACATCCATCTGTATTATTAACAGACTATTGATATACATCGTTACTATTAAGTCGGGGGTGATTAAAGCTTATACACTTATACACACACACATACACACCTGTCGGTACGTTAATATGTCCACCATTGTTATAAGTAGAGTTCGACAACCTATCTCTGAACTAACAATAAACACAAGTGTGAATGTTTATCGATCTTTGGTTTACACAGGTGACTTTTTGTTTGATAGTTGTCTTAAAAGTTTCAATGTTATATATGTGGCTCGTTGGTCTAGGGGTATGATTCTCGCTTTGGGTGCGAGAGGTCCCGGGTTCAAATCCCGGACGAGCCCTAATGTTTTTGAGTCACCAGTGGTTGGAGGGATCGATGTATTTTGAAAATTTTTGGTGTGGCGCCAATTTCAATGACTTACTATATCGGTAGTTTACAATTGTTCTGTAACGTTCTCACACATGTACCTGATTTCCCTTTGTTTTACCTTATTCTTGAAGTTTTCATCCCCAAATATTTTTTATTGGCATCTCCAATAGTCAGGCAAACTTTTTAAACTTATAGTAATACAATTTTAATCAAATTGTCTTTGTATTAGATCGATGTTTACAAGTGGACTTATAAGTACCGTCAGGGCACACGGTCATTTTTTTTTAGGATTTTTAGGAAATGGCAGATTTTCGATGTGGAGTGACATGAATATTATTTTGATCATTAATTATCGAAATGTACTCAAAAAATGATATTTACACATTTATAAGAAGGTTAGCATATGGTTTACCTAAGAAATATTGTAATTACATGTTGATTTCTAGTAGTAAAAGAATAACAAGAATAAAGGTAGCAGTTGCAGGCTCGTTTACTAGGTTTAGTATACTAAATTTGTATACCAAAGCCTAGTTCTAGTAGTAAGATTTAATTTGTTAGTTATATTTACTGGAATAAACTGTTGTGATTACAATAACTAGTATTTACGTAATGTATGCCTGTGGACTAGTAATAGTCCATACTAAAGACTTCTGCATATAGTATAGATCTATATGGTAAATTTTAATCCATATACAGGAAACAGTATGCCACTTCGACTATCCTAAACACATTGATCTCACTTCTATTTATGAACTTTACACTGTAGTTTAGACTTGTCATAAAATTCTAGTAGGCTACAATTATACTAGTATTATTAGTAGTTGTGTACTGAATGACTAGGCTTTTGTTTGTTTATGTGGCTCATTGTAAGTAATAGCTATTGGAAGCTTCCAGCAAAAGCATGCTCAGTCCGGCAACCGTTGCTACACCAGAAAGACCACAGACAAGATTGAGGGAGCATGACATGTCGGCAACTGTTGCTGTGTTTGAGGTCTAAGATGTGTTCCGATAGAAAATCCAATAAAAATCGTACTCAAAATATACTTTGTGCTGTATTTATATGTGAAAATTACAAAAAATGACTGTTGTAACTATTGCCATGTTATTAGTTAATAAATTGTATCGTTTGTTCCTATTTTGTAAAAAAAATTTTTTTGGAAAAAAATGACCTACATTCCTGACAGTACTTATAAGTACCAATATCTGTTTAGGCCATTAAAAATTGTTTAAACGAAATATCCTTTGACATATGCTTTGAATGTGCCAAAAGCAGTATGATAACACATTGTTTAAGAAAAAATTTCATTCAGAACCTAATTCCGTAAATAAAGGGTTAAATCAGAGGCGTAGCTAAATATACAGAGAAAACTTGACGGGGGGGGGGGGGGTCAAATCGAAAGTTTAAGGTGGGGGGGGGGGTACAAATCGAAAGTTTGAGGGGGGGGATGTGCAAATCGAAAATTTGAAAGTTTGTCCTCGGGAAGGGTCGCTATGCCTCTGGGGGGGGGGGTGACACCATTAAGTGCCGCACCGGGTGACACCCGACCTCGCTACGCCACTGACTTAAATACATTTTTTAACATGTCTCTTTTAGTTCACCTTTCAACTAGCAAGGATAAAAATAATTGTTGACTATAGGAGTGGATTTTTATGAGGCTTTTATTCAATCTAGGTTGAATTCTGCTTCTACAGAGTGAAGCGGCATCTTTATAACA